TAACCCGCAGCCGACGAGAACCGCAAGCCGTAAATACTCGGAGGCCGTGAGAAGCATCCGGATGGCAGTGGTGCCACGCAACTACCCGGCGGAGGCCGGAAGAGGAAAAGCAAACGGCTCTCCACGATTGCCTGGTAAATGCCTCATTCATGGGCGATGGCTACACCGGCGCCTTCAACGGCATCTATTTTAAGGGTGGTATGCTGCTGGTCGACTGTCAAAATGAGATTTCGGCCACCTGGCTGACGGAAATCACGCCAAGGCTAGAGAGTTGGAAGGGTCCGGCCCTTTGTGTTACGAGAGGCGAGGAAATACCACAACTACACAGCATGGTGGTATTCTTTCCCCGAAGTGCGGACAAGAACTACGACTTCACGCTTGGTTTAGCAGTGTTGGTAGCGAGCAGAGTTGAGGGTTCAGGGTGGAACCTCAACATAACAGTAGATGACGAATCCTACAAATACATCAGACAGAAGGGATTCCGGCTGAGATTCCGCTTCGGCAAAATAGTAATGAGGCCATGGAGGCCCAAGACAACGTCAAGGGCAGAAACATTCCTACAAGCACACTTTCCGGAGACGGTTCAGGCTGACCTAATTCCAGCATCAGTCACACGTAGGCCGGATCGCTTAGACTGGCTGACTGCAAGGAATACGTTCGCCGCTGTCAAGGGTACGCGGACGACATTGTCATAATGGCAGAAACAACAGTGGGAGAAAGCAAGATTCGTCTTGGCACCACAAGGAGCTGCCCACAGGGTGGAGTACTATCCTCTCTGCTATGGAGCTTGGTAGTAGATAAACTCCTTAAATTGCTCACCAGCAATGGAATCCGCTGTCAAAGGTACGCGGACGACATTGTCATAATGCTCAAATACCTTGGCCTCACTTTAAACTCATCATTACGGTGGAGTAGGCATTTGGGCTTAACGCTGTCCAAAGCAGCTAAAGCACTAATGATATCCAGACGCCTGGCCAGCAAATCATGGGGATGCAAGCCAAGCATCATTAGATGGCTGTATACCATGATAGTAATTCTTATTGTCACCTATGGAGCGATAGCTTGGGCCGCCAAAGCAGCGCAGTCTTCGGTGATCCGGAGACTGTCAAAGCTGCAAAGACTTGCCTGTTTCTGTACTTCAGGGGCAATGCGCACATGCCCCACGGTGGCACTGGAAGTCATACTGGAGCTCACACCGCTGCCTCAGGTGATAAAACAAGCAGAAAAACACACCAAGCTGCTAATGTCAGCAGAAGGCTGCGGAAGAGGAAAGATAATGTCCTCCAGACAGATGGATGCACTAGCGGAAAGCACACCGTTAGCCCTCCTCCCAAAGGACGGCACCACAAAGAAAATAAACCTCAAAAAGAATTTCAGAGTTACACTGGGCAGCAGAATGGAGTGGAGGGATTCCACGCTGGAAATACTGCTGGAAGCAAGTACCATTCAGTGGTACACTGATGGCTCAAAAACACCGGAAGGTATTGGGGCAGGTATTGCGGGACCGCGTACTAAGCTGTCCATACCAATGGGATGCTTCCCTAGTATCTTCCAGGCTGAAGTTTTTTGCCATATGTCAGTGCGCCGCAACTATAGCAACCAGCGCATAGATATTCTCAGCTATAGTCAAGCGGCTCTAAAATCGATCCCATCATATGAGGCCAAATCGCTTTTAGTCGAATAATACATAGAAATGCTAAACCGCCTGTCCTTATGCGGGGAATGAGAAGGCCGACGAACTGGCCCGCGCTGCGGCAGCGTCCAAGATGATGGGACCAGAACCATACATAGCGGTAGGATTCCACACTCTTAAGGAGCTGCTCCGCAAGGAGGAAAGAGTGCAGAGAGTGGAGAGAGAACGGCATTGGCAGAAGGCAGCAAGTATGCGCCACGCCAAGCTGCTTCTAGGAGGGTACAACCTCTCCAGGTTCAAAGAATTAATTCACCTCCCCCGTGACAAATTCCGTCTCCTCGTCGCGATGTACACAGGGCACTGCAAGCTCAGGAAACACCTGTCCAACATGGGCATAGTCTCCTGTGCTAACTGTCGGTTCTGAGACCCGGAACAGGAAATACCAGCACACCTAATCCTGGATTGTACAGCAATCTGTGGAAATGGCGTAAGGCCCTGGATTCCATTTACATCAGCAGGGATCACATAACCTCAGTAGCGCCCGGCAAACTCCTGGAACTATTCAGGCTGCTGGCACTCTGAGAGGACATGTGATATAGGTGAGGGCACAACAAACCCTAGGTCGCGGTGCATTACCTCATTAATCTATCTATCTAGGCATTTAAACGAGTCGCTTTTAAAATTTGGTTTCGGTGGAGAGCTGCCAGATCTGTCTGATATAACAAATGTAACTGTAATTCGCATTGTTAACGTAAACGTAAGCTTTTATATTTGAAGGTAATGTACACTGTTTGTGTACATGTTTTGCCCAATTTACATTAGAACTAAACAAAAGCTATTGTTATAAACATATTAGTATGATAAACAAGTTCACAATTTGTATCATTTAGCTCTTAATTATAAAAATAAAGACTTCAAATTTCTAATTAAATATTTCCGCTTGGTTGATATAGATCTGACTAAATATATTAATACTATAATAATAATTACAGCGATTGAAAAGATTCAAAAATTTATTTTTAAATTTTAAATTGCATGTCTAAGCCAAAATAAGCTTTTTTAATAATAATACATATGGCAACTTTATTTTTCATGCCAAGGTTTATTGACGTTTCATAGAAAATGTCATAATTTTAGTTTATAAGCTACCCCGTTGAAATTAAACAATAATAATTTAAAACGAGTAAAAATATTAAATACAGATAAAACATTTTATGTCAAGTTAATAAAAGGTTTATATGAGTATAAATTACTCTAATAATATATATATTTAGTGTTGGTTCAGTTTCAACTATTCAATGGCTGTAAGAAATCTGCATCTCGCAGTGTAAAATGTTTTATAATTTAAAAGCACTTTTACCTATATTGTTTTTATCTATTTGAATATTTCGTTTAAAGTCCAGAAGTCTCAAGTGTACTTTTTCCAATTAAACAATTAAGTAATGTGTAACCAAAATAACAGATATAATGTATTAATCTTAACAATTTGTCACAGCAAAGCATCATATTTTTGGCATAAATAAAACAAACACCTATGATTGTTATCAAAACTGGAAAATACAGAGATAAAGCAAAACTCCTCAAAATATAACAATAGCCTCTTAGCTAGCGCCAGAATACAGTCTGCAACTACATACTTATGAACTTTTTTTTTTAATAACACCAACTATAAGGAATAAACATTACAAGAATGTTGATGGGAAATATTCTTATAACAAAGATAATAAAAAATATTGTTAAACACAATAATTATCTGAAAAATATTGTGCCAAATTTCTTACATAAATAAAATCATATCACTTGTATACTAATTTATGACCAAAGTGATAACATAAATATCGTGTGACACTGATTTCGACTCACAATTGACGTTGAAATGAATCATTAATATTGGGCAAACATATATGTATATAGCAAGTACCTTGTTTTTTTAACTATCACTGTGGAGGGATCAAAGGAAATCGGACGTAGAAATACGCGAATTTTACGAAAACTAAACCAAAAACTAGCGGCAATGCGAACAAAACACTTTATTTTAATACTCTGCTGTGTTATCATTACCACTATATTTTTCATAATTTTGGGGCCGGCTGGTGAACCCAACGATTCCTTAAAAAGCATTGTTTCACATACTCATCAGCAATTTAACAAATTACAAGTAAGTAAGCAAATAAACATACATGTATGTTACATGATGATCTATAATCATTAGTATATTCATTTATTACAACATAACTACATGTCATCTTTTTATTTAGGAAAATTTGCGTGTTACTGAGCAAAAGAAACTTGAAATAGACGCGAAATATTTGAATTTGCTAGGGTTCACCGATTCAATTTACGCAAAGGAGTCCCAGACTTACAATCGCTATGAAATTGGAAATGGTTTCAAACCAGATGCAGACATTGAAATATCGCATCTTCCACTGATACAGCAACCTAAACAGAAGCTACAAAAAAGCGATGATTATACAAGTAATATTAACAAAGTTCGACATAGTAGCAAGACACGGCCAGCTACAACGCCATACAATGGTACGAAAACAAACTTTTCCATTGTAACATATGTACAAGATGGACAAGCGCCTTCGGTAATATTACTAGCGCAAAATATTGCTTCAAAATTTCCGGATGAACATTTACTCGTTTATGATATCGGCTTATCAGAGGATGATTCACGCAGTTTAACAGCTTATTGTAACATCACTAGGTGTTCAGTCATTAACTATGATTTGTCAGTATTTCCGTCGCACGCCTTTGATCGTCGCATGCACGCTTATCGGCCGATTGTGATAAAAGATGCATTGACGCGTTCGAAAAGTATTCTTTTTGTCGAAAATTATATACGATTTCGTGGTGGTAACCATGACCTACAAAAACTACGTAATAAGGTCTTAAGTACAGGAGTTTTGGGTTGGAACACTTCGACTGCTGTATCCACACGCACACATCCAAAAATGTTCGAATACTTTCAAACCGATGCGGACGACTTCATTTTTCTACGAATGGTTGACCTCGATATAGTTTTATTCCTGGACACTCCATTCGTAGAAAAGAATATAATGCTGCCCTGGTTGAAGTGTGCATTGACAGTGGAATGTATAGATCCGATTGGTAAGTGTGTTTAATTTTATTTTTTTTTTTCATTTTTATGGTTTTCTTTTGTTTTCATTTTTAATTAATTTTTATTGTTCAATCAACGTTTACAAGTTATAAGCGCAAATAGATAACTGTCAATACTCCCAACGTATTTTAACGTTAAGATAATGTTAATGAATTAATTTAGCATACTTTAACAATATATATATATATATAATTAATATGGTATAAATGTCAAAAGCTTTAATTTTTTTATGAAACTTTATATTTTCTTTAAGTATAGTAATATATAAGGCTAATGCGAATTGTACCCGTACAATATATTAAATATTTTTGTAACTTCACATAAAAAAGAAAATGCCGAAATGTTTAACACACTTCGGCAGAACAACAGCCTACAAGAAAATGGTACATTTTGATCAAAGGTGTTACCAAAAAAAATTTGATTATTCGCCATAAAAGATTTGGCATGTCGGCGTAAATATTTGTAGCTGCGAATATATACTCATGTGGTTGAAGATTGTAACCATGATGTCCACTCAACATGAGGTGCATATCGTAAACGATATATGCAGCACGATAAGTTGTGAGGGAGAGTAGAGCGTATGCAATGGCATTCAATGAAAATGAGGAAAATACAATCTCTATCAAATAGTGGCCAGCCAATGAAACCAGCAGAACTAATAAAATGGCATTTATAACTGTAAATTTATAACGAGTTTGTTCCGAATAAGCCACTATGCTTAAAAGTTGTACAATTACTATCAGATGAGGAAATATTGCCTGCAAAAAGACAACAAAAATTAATTGATACGTATATTGTTAATACGGAAGACATATAAACTCACCAATTGTGAATTTAACCAAGTTGCCAAGACACCGGCTTCTACGGCTAATAAAAAAGTCACTGTAGCAAACGCAATAACATTCACTGGTGGATACCGACGCATGTCACTAAAAAAATACATTACAATAAGTAGACAAAACATGATGCCTCGTACGCCTTGTATAGCAGGATGAGAAATTGGATCAAAGAAGAGTATGAAAATTTCAATCACCGGCAGTGTTAGTACATGTTGCAGCTGTCGAAGAAAATTTTAGTGATGTTTTGTTCGAAACGAAAATTTATATGCTCAACTTACTACGAGTGTGATGAACACCTTACGTGCAAAAGTGCGTCGCAGGATTGGATCAGGTATTTCGAACTGCTGCACACTGGCATCAATCGCATATATGGGCATAGTCTGCTGCGGACCCCCATCTGCTCTAGGTTCAATATATACATTACCTCCCATATCCATACCATTACCTATAAATTTATTGTTTTTACATCGAACACTGTGAGTTGCAATGATAATTACCACCTTCTTGCACCTGCATCTTGCCCAATTCTGGCATTGGATTATCAAACATAACGTTCGGTACCATTGTGTTTGCATTTTGTGCATTCACACCTGAATTATCACCATATTCATACATAATTATTTGGTTTTCAGTGTAAACTTTTTTAACAAATAACTTGAATTTAGTATAGTGACGTCACTTTTTATATCAAACTGCTGTGGACGATGTCCGCTTTCCAACTATTTGTTAAGGAATAAATATGCTCACAAAGTAAAAGTCTGCACAGATTAATTTCAGACTTTTTGGCGACAAATTCGAATCATGCGCGTACGTTAATGCGCTGTCCTGTGATACACTCATCTCAACACAACTTATATGCTCTACTGAATTCCTAAAAATGCTTATTTCTGGCCCTTACCGCGCTTTTAATTCACTTATCTACGTACATACCGAAATATACATTGTTGTAGGTTGTGTATATGGGTCTAATTGAATTATTTTAAAGCAGCATCACAATAGAAGCAAAAGATGGGGTAAAATCCTTTTTTTTTAAATTGCGATAAAAATATAGACATTTTTTGGTGGTGTCTATTCTTGACGGTGTTCAAAAAATACTGAGTCTAGCAATCACAAAACTCTTTGGCAAGTCATTTTAGCACGAAATCTTATCTTTGCAAAGCCATATAGTCTGACCCGATCGCACTTATAAATACAATGCGAGATACATATTAGTGAAGTCAGTTATTGGAAAAATAACGGATTTCTTTTTACGATAGCTTATCTATATTTATGTACATATATAGTCTTTTTGAGTTTTATTCATTTATGGAATGTCTCTAGATAATAAGTAAATCAGGCGCCTATAGTTTTAATGGTGGAGGGATGACAAGCTTCCAAAGAAACACAATTTTTATAATGTAAACTTTCACTGTCAACTCGACAAATTCTAAAAATTATGTTGTCCTCAATATAACATTCTGTGTCTACTTTTAGGTGCGCAATGGAATGGCTGCAAATATAATAAGAAGCCGCTTTATCGATACTCTGGATGTCACGCCTATGACGTTTCAGCTTTCAACATAGTCCTCGGCTTAACATGGCATTTAGATGTCTCAAAATACTCAATGCCCTGCGAGGGAAATAATATTTTTTACAAGGAAACTTTGGAAAAAGCTACTAGAATACTAGAAAATAGACGACTTAACAACAGTGATACGTCGGAGCATCCCGTAACGGAAGATTAGTTCTAAAAAATGGTAGAATTTACTAGACATTGTTGTTTGTTTTTTTTTTTTAAGTGCTAAGCCAAAATTTTAGCTTATCTGTTTAAATATTTAATTACGTAAAATGTAAGTTTAGTATATAAATTTATATACTTAAGAAATAAATTTCTTTCAAATTGTAGCAAACCAAATACTTATATAATATTACGTCACGAGCCATACGAGTAAAAATAAATAATATTGTATAAGCGCTTGAAACATTTATTTATGTTAATATTTGGATTGTTTCCACTTTGCGGTTAGAAACAGCTGTAGGGTTCATGGTGTTGTTTTAAGCCGTTTACAAAATCGGTGTTCTAATTTTTAAAATTTGTAAACAAAGAAATGACACTTTAAGCGATTCCTCTAATAATGTCGTTGAAGCTTCGTGGTGATTTCAAAATAACATTTTTTGTTATGTTGTATATATGTAGCAAATAAGTAGTAAGGTTCGTAACATAAACACATTTTTTTCGCACAATTTTGGGAGTCACGGTAAATATATATATATGTGAATTTGCAATGACTGTATGTATGTACATTTGTACATAAACTAAAACTGCATAGACATTTAGGTTTAAGTGTGGTCAATCATTTGCTGACGCAGAAGCCCTAACTCCAATTAGCGATCAGAGCCAAACAACAGCAGAGATAAATAAGCATTTATAAGTATGTGAGTTTTAGAATTATTTACAGTGCATATAAAATAAACATAAAAAAAAACAAACAATTTCATTTAGGCTAATAATATGACATCAGTATTTAATACAATTATGTGGCTTTGCCTATTTGTTGTTGCTGTTAAAACGTGCATTGCACTTGCTTATGATCCAAACGATACAAAAATCGCTTCAGTTATTCCACCTGAAGGTTTTTTCGAGGCATTTTACCCGAGAGAAATGGATGGTGTGCCCAACAGTGCTTCCCGTCCCGCTCATGCGCACGGCAGTTTCTTTAAGCATCGCAATCCAGCTTTGGTGGACACAAAGAATGCTGCAGCTTACGGATATCGTTTCGATGGTAAAAGGCGTTTCAATTTAAAGTAAAGAAGTTAAATAATAATTACATTATGTGTGTTTCTTATGGTTTTTATGAAAATTCAATAAAATATAAAATTAATAATATAAATATGTATATCCAATGGAGTAGGTTAGGCTTTGTTTACCAGCTTTTTAAGTTAAAATACATATGTTCATATGTATGGTAAATACATTAGTGTATGTAAGTATATGCGTAACTATCTTTTGCTTACCCAACAAACTATAATGAAAGTGTTTAATGTCTATCATTATTTTTAAATTATGAAGATTCTTTATTTAATAGAATTCACATTTTGTATTCATTATATTATAGATTAATCCATTAAAATTACCAATTGCTTTTCTACAATTGAAAACATCTCATACAATCAAACCGAAATCACTCTACAAGAGTACCCATAATGAATTTATACCAGATTGCTATCATCTGATATTAACCATATGACAGTTTCCACCACATCAAAATACAGTCCACTTTATACAATTGACATTTCAAATCATCTGTGCGTAGAAACGTTTTTCCAATTTTATTTTTGCTGTATTGCATTATGTTTCAATAAAAAATCCTTAATCGTGAAAAAATTAAAAAAAAAATATATTAGTATTGCCAAAGGGAACAGTTAAAGTTGAGTGCTTAAGCAAAAATTACGTTTTGTTTTAACAAACCAAAGAGAATATGAACGTACGGTTACTAAGCCGACTGCAGCAACGCTGGAGGTGAGCACTAACGAATTAGTCAATAACCTCAAATGACTTTTTCTCCCCACAGTGTTTTGAGACGTTATGCGACAAAACCATCATCTTTGTCTGGTGAAGAAGTGCGTATTGGCACTGGCATTGGAAATATAACAGGCAGAGCTCGTGACGATGCCAGCTCGCTTACTGTAAATCAGCCTTCCACCAAAGTAGTCACCAATCTACCACCGCTAACAGATCCGATACCAAATCTTGCTGAAGTTGAGTATGCGCGACCACTAGCCGAAAGCAGTCTTACACAAGTCACTACACTGCCGAATGGATTACGTGTGGCATCTGAACCCAGATTTGGACAGTTTTGCACAGTTGGATTGGTGATCGATTCGGGTCCACGTTATGAAGTCACCTACCCAAGTGGTGTTTCACATTTTCTTGAGAAGTTGGCCTTTAATGTATGTTGTTAATATTTTTATTGTTCATGTAATTCATTAAGTTAGGTAATTGCCGTTAACTTTGCAGTCAACCAAGAAATTTCCAAACAAAGATGCTATACTAAAGGAATTGGAGAAAAACGGTGGTATTTGCGATTGTCAGAGTTCACGTGACACTCTCATATATGCTGCAAGTATTGATAGTCGAGCTATTGAATCGGTTACACGCTTACTTGCCGATGTGACATTGCGACCAACACTCCATGCCGCAGAAGTGAGCGCTGCACGTAAAGCGGTGCAATTTGAACTTGAAACGCTCGGCATGCGTCCGGAGCAGGAACCCATATTAATGGATATGATACACGCAGCGGCATATCGTGATAACACTTTGGGACTGCCAAAATTATGTCCATCAGAAAATCTTTCATTAATAGATAGAAATGTCTTAATGAACTATTTGAAATATCATCATACACCTCAACGTATGGTAATAGCCGGTGTCGGGGTAAGTTAAATTATGAGCTGTTGTGAAGTAGATAAAAAAGGTTATTATGTAAACAACTTACTAGGTTAACCACGATGAGCTGGTACGAAATGTTGAGAAGTATTTTGTAGACGAAAAAGCAATATGGGAAACACAAGTTATCAAAGGAACCGGAGCAACAGAAGTCGATGCCTCAGTTGCTCAATACACCGGCGGCTTGAAAAAGGTACATACATAAATACACATACATATGTTTATGTGTACTAATTAACACCTATTATAGGAAGAATGTGAAATACCGATTTACGCCGCTACTGGACTTCCAGAGCTCGCACACGTTGTTATCGGACTGGAGGGTTGCTCCCATCAAGATCCCGATTTTGTGGCATTATGTGTTTTAAATATAATGATGGGCGGTGGCGGTTCGTTTTCCGCTGGCGGTCCCGGCAAGGGCATGTACTCACGCTTATACACAAACGTTCTTAATCGCTATCATTGGATGTATAGCGCTACGGCTTATAATCATGCCTATGCAGATACTGGCCTATTTTGCATACATGCCAGCGCTCCACCTAGTAACGTTCGCGACATGGTTGAGGTTATTACACGTGAACTCGTCAACATGGCAAGTGAGCCGGGTAGAGATGAATTGAGTCGTTCCAAAATCCAGTTGCAATCGATGCTATTAATGAACCTGGAATCAAGACCGGTTGTATTTGAAGACGTGGGTCGACAAGTTTTGGCAACAGGGCATCGCAAGCGACCTGAACACTTTATACGCGAAATCGGTAATTAACACGCATGCGATTGTATTTGTATATATAAATTTAACTCTTTTTTTTTTTTTAATAATTTTCTTACAGAAAAAATCAGTCATGGTGATATACAGCGTGTAGCTCGTCGCTTACTCGCCACCGTGCCATCAATGGCTGCCCGTGGTGATATCGGCAAATTGCCGGAAATGAAGGACGTACAAAGCGCTCTCAGCAACGGCGGTCGCTTATCCTCTCGCCGACTCTCACTGTTTAAGTGAAAATCCCCATGTACATACAATTAAAGAGAATATCAAGCCTTTTTGCTTTATATAGGTAATATAAACGAAATATAATTATTTGGAATAATATGTAAGCTCATATGTTCCGTTCATATAAAGCCCAGTTACTGAATCCATTGCAGCATATCATACCCTCGTAGCAATTACGTAAATTCTCACGCCAAATTCATAAATAATCACATTTGTATAACTTATTCATTAGAGATCAACATAAAATCCATTAGAAGTTAAAAAATTAAAATGTCATGTGTTTTGATTGTGATTTGAACATAGAAAACAAAAGGCGCGCAATTAGAAAATAGTTCGTATTAGTAATTACCCGTAGCCACAAATAATGCAATGGATTCAGACAGAGGCATGAGTTTAAATTAATTCTTGCGAGTGTATACATCACACTTATAAGTATGTATGACAAAAATATGTTTTTTTTTCTAAATGAAAAATTATGTAAACCGGTGAGTCGCTAAAAATAAATCTGCCATACCTTGCATACATTTTTTATGTACGTAAATATTCAAAAAATTAAATTAAATTATTGAAAATAAAACGATAAACCGGTTTGAATAAACAAAAAATACAATCTTTGTTGTATATATTTTGGTTAGTGTGCGAGTGTAGGCAGGCTTGAATAGGCCTGTTCCGGTCTAAGTAACCCGAACGGACCCGAATTTTTATCTGGCCAATGTTTTATGCCGCTACAACAGCAACAACTATTAAAATATTTTAAAACACTAAAGGATTAATTTTTTTGGTACTTACGGAACCAAGTTTTTCGTATATTTCAGTTCTATATAACTTCATAATTAGAATATAATACTAATATTTAAGCTTAACATTTAGTATATTGATTACAGAGTTGAGTTTATCTTGTACTCCTTCAATGTATTCTGGAACCCACACGTTATAATACGCAACAGAAAGGTTGACCCAAGTCAAGAGAAGCTTTTAATTAAGTTACTGTAATATTTGAATATTTAACATTGCTGGCAACCGGCACTTTTGTTTAGAGCTTTAGATAACGTTCTATTTCTTAACGACGGACATTCCTTGTGCTCCTTAAGCCTTAATATGCCGCAATTTAACTACTCAGTTCTCCCGACTCAATATCCGAATTCGACGAGACATCTTCCACCAAATCTTGAAGATCATGCGGCATTGTATTTAAAGACGACTTCGTATTTTCGCTCATATTGGGCGCCGGGGCGGTTAAATTTTCTTCAAAGCAATCATCACTCGATACATCTTCACAATTTCTTTTATTCGCACTTTTCATATCGTCCACTTCGAGATTTGCCCTTTTGAGGGAATTCGAATTCGCTCCGTTTTGCGATGTTTTTTCAACACGTTTTCTGCTTCGCCTTTTGTGTGTGCGGGATTTTTCCAACTGCTCATCATCTGAACTGGTGCTGCTATCACTGCTGTGACTTGAATGACCTGAAAATAAGAAAAATATGCGAATTAAAAAAATCAAATTTAAAAACATGCATGGCAGATTCAACAAACCTTGAATGCTTATGGATGTGGTCTGTTGATCGTCCACATCACTATCATCATCCGGCAGTTCATCGCTGGAGATGTCTTCACGTACACGATATTGCTTGGGAAGATGTGACTCATCTTCCATGGAATTCGTACTTTTCGGTTTCGCTTGTTCGGTTAAAGTCTCTTCAAATTCCGGTTTGAGCTCGCCACCCTTTTGCTTTTTAATACTCTTGGCTATAACACGTTTCTGATGATCCAATTGTGGGAATAAATCACGTGAATTCTCCAAAGCTTGTTTGGCTGCATTCATTTCAGCCTGCTGAATCGATGAGCCGGTAGCGGTTGCCAAGCGTTTCGAACGGAAATAAACAGCTACCGTATACACGCGGGTATTGGTGGGTCCGATAGACTCGATCACTTTGTAAATGGGTATATCGGGTTCGCCACCCTCCATCGTGCGCAAAGTCAAACAACATTGTTGTAACTTCGATTTGGGATCGTTCCAATCTTGATTCATAATAAATATTTGCAAACGTGGAAACAGACAAACATGACAGAATTGTTCACAATACAGTAAACCTTTATCCACATATAATGCACCCAAGAAGGCTTCCAATAAATCAGCACGATCTTTAGTCTTTAGCTCCACCTTTGGATTCGAGTAGACCGCATACTTGGTCATGCCGAGATCATCACAAACCACCGCTTGTGTGCGATTGTTCACAAGCGATGAACGCAACAACGACAAATGACCTTCGTGATGCTCGGGAAAATGGCGATAAAGATATTCGGAGCAAATCAATTGCAACACCGTATCACCCAGGAATTCCAAACGCTGATTCGAACCCAGTGTGAGGTGAGTAAAACCAATGGATCGATCGGTGAAAGCGCGTGCCAGTAGACGTATGTGTTTGAACTGTATGCCGATGGATTTTTCGAATTTGGTTAACTCCTGCAGCACCGGATAAGAAGATATACAACCGCGATCGCCTAACGGCTCTTGCTCTTGCAACGGATGCTCTGGATAATTCTTCCAAATCTCTTTTAGTTGCTCGTTTTCCATATAAAGCGCGTTCATAAATACCTCATCGGCTATTGATATGCCACCATCGAGTAGCAGCGCACCCATTAAAGCCTCAAAGCAGTTAGCCATTGCGTGACGCAATTCCAATTCATGACATAAGTCCGAACCATGCGCGTACAGCATGTACTCCTCCAAGTGCAACTTCTTGGCGAGTAAAGCTAAATGCTGATTCTGCACGATAGCCGCACGATAAGTAGCCAGACCACCTTCTTCCAAATCAGGAAACATGAAAAACAAGTGTATTGAACTTAAAAACTCAACAACGGCATCGCCCAAGAATTCCAAACGTTCATTATGCGTGATATTAGACATAGTCTCATATTCCTTGCCAAAGCGCGACATTATGTTTATAAGGGTATTTATGCCACGCTTTCGCGTATTCAAGTAATGTATTTTACGATCACCATACTCGGGCTGACGTATGCCACAATTAGTAAGCGAATTGCGCGCATGATCGGGATTCGTGCCATAATTTTCTTTATACGAGGGATGCGTCAACGCCAATTGCAATAAATATCTAAAACGATAAAAGAAAAAAATTATAAAAAAAAAAGAAGCAATAATAAAGAATGTTGTAAAAACTCACCGATTTTTGAAACTGTAACCAATACTTTTCTCTAAAAGGTCCAACGAACGATGAAAACGCAAGTGACCAGTAAGCACCGGTATGAGCATCGCGTGCTGCACAATGTCACACATAATACCGGTTCGATAATAGCCCTTCGAACTGACCGCCACAGTTATATTACGCTTCATACGCCCTTGAGTGCGCATTTCCTGTAAACGCGCTTCTTTTTCCTCCAATTTGCGCTTGTCAGCAAACGATGGCTTCGACATGTTGGCCATTAGATGGCGATATTTTACATATTCACGCCAAGCTTTCTGATACTCCGGATTGCCGGCATAACTGAGCTGCGGTGGTCGTATACCAAAATGCACGATGGCTGGATGTGTTACGTTCTCTTCGGTTTCAAAACACTCTGGCAAATCAGAAACATTGCGATCCAGCTGATCCACGCGTACGGAGCATGGTTTGTAACCCGGTTTTGTCACAAGCATTCCTTTTATGAAATCGACATAATCTTGCCACTCATGCTGACTGATATCGTTTAGGCAACGCAACTGATCGCGATCCACAAGTGGAGCAGCACTGTCCAGTAAATAACGGAGCACTTCACTTATGGCCAATACTTCTTTGCCATTATCGGGTAGATCACGCACGAAACGTGGTAAGAAATGAAAGGCTGGACATGTTTCGGAACTGGACATGCCGTCGGGGTATAGTGAAAAATCTACCAGCTCTAGCAGTTCGTGGAATAGGTATTGATCTGAAAGTTTGAAATTAATTAAATACTTTTATAAAAATATTATTTTTCGGAAAGAAAATATTTTGTCTATTCGAATGCATGCATATACATATGTATTTACTTACTAAATAACTCCAATTCTCTTATGGTGAAATTCTCGGGCATTTTCTCAGCAACATACAAGATGGTATATTCAATGTTAAAGCGTATGACTTTACATGTGGGCAAGTCTGCAAGCGGTGAATGTGTCAACATCGAAAATCCTTCGAAAATAAACTCATGCTCGTCATGCTTGATTATCGTTGGCGTTTTAGTGAGAAAATTTGTGGGCGGCGAAATGGTAATACGATAGTGGTAAAGTTGCGAAGCATTATTGGAATTCGGCAAACATTTCTTATAACCTGTTTCACCGGGATATATGCCGTGCCGTATGCCAATACGTCGCGATTTAGCAGAACAACGACAGAGCGGGCCGTCATTCATTTCACCCGAATCGTTATGCCACAAGTCGGCATGTATGCGATATGGATGCTGCACTTTTCGTGAAAGTTCCTCCATACAACAATCTTGTTCAATTTTCAGCTCATCATCTGATGAGTCTTCTGACGACGATGAGCAAGCTTCAGATTTATGTTTACACAGGCGGCGGCGTGACTTGCGTGCTGGCGGTTCGTAGGGTGGTAATGTTTTGCGCACACGATCTGAGCGTTGTACTAATTTTTCTTCGAATAAATTGCACAGCGCTTCTAATCTACTAGTGGACACAACTTCATTTGGTACAGCTGAACGTCGGTAAAATGGATCTGCTGGCGATGAACGTATCCATACGGTTGGAGAGTCTTCATCTTGCCCAACCATTTCTGCCAATTTTTCGGCAATATCTTCGGAGGTTTCACAATAATTTGATCTCCAGCTTTTCAAAAGTCTGTCTCTTTCAGTTTCAAGTTTTGGTTCCTTGGAATCGCTTCGTGCTTCATACTTTCTTTCTCGTTGAGTATAGGGTCTAGAAGTTTCGGCATATTTCGGATAGCCGTAACCTCTGGAATAATAATATAAATAAAGTAATGACGTGTACATTCATACAAGCATATATTTATAAAACTTGCCTCTGAGACGATGGAGGTGCAAATTGCGGACGATTGATTTGGGATGTGGTAGAAGTATTGCGATAATTTCCACGCGCAGTATAAGGTGCACGATTTGTCATAGGCTTATGCTCGTATGGATGTGGTCGTATGTTACCAGGTGGTTTATAATGCCCTCTATTTGGCGTGAATTCTCTGCCACCTATGTAAGGTCGATGTACATGGCCATCATATTTTTGGTTATGATAACTATATTCATTATATGTTGAATCATAAGGTGTGTACGGAGTTTTTCTCGGTGGCGGCACATTATACACACCTTCATTATTAAATACATCTGTATATGTATTTGTTGTTTGAAAATGTGGATAGTAAGGCGTACTCTTGTCGTTATAAGGTTGTTGATAAAAAGTTGTAGGATAAGAATGAAAACTACTTGCTCCAGATACGTGAGGCATCGAAGGCGGCAAAGTGTCATTGGAGTAACTATTTGTTGCGTGTACTGATTGATGTAGTTCTGTTGATGGTGTTTCTGGTGGCGGCGGAGGTGGAGGACCTGGTGGTATCCCAACTGGAAGTGGTGGAGCTTGTTTTGATTGATCAATATCTGGTGGTGGAGGTGGCACCATCGAAAAGTGTTGAAAATTCATATCTCTGGAATAAATTTAATATCTCTAAAATATATCTTCCACAAGCACACAACAAGTTCAACTGAACTCAATGAAGATGATGGCAAAAGCAGATGTGTTAGGTACAAATTTTGCAATGTAAAGCTGTGACTTTATCTTCATTGATAAAACTGTTTTTACCGATAACCGCAGCTAATTTATCGATGTAAGCAATAGCTAAGTGCAAAAGTTTACAACACTGATTTATGTGTTAATACTAAGGTGTTAATAAATTTGATATTTCGAATAATTAATATATATATAAAATTTAATGTTATGTTTCTAGTTAATATTTTTAATAAGTATTACTTTAAAATTAAGAAAGTTTTGTGGTAAAATCGATATTTGTTAAATGTTATCGAGTAGAGTTATGTTTTCACTACTAACACTTTGATAGAATTGCAGTATCTAACAATCAGCTGTTTAACAAAATGCATTAGTAAACTAATAATAACAAAGTCCGAATCAAATAAACAAATACTACAGATATTTATTGTTTTAGTGTAAAATGGAAGCGAACAGTGATATATTTCAGTATGTTAGTAACGTAAATGTAAAATGTAATCAACATTAATTGTATATTTACTATATGGCGAATCACTAAACAATGCGTAGAAAGGAAGTATCAGCATACTATATACACATATATATAAGTGTCATCTATTGCCCGCTTTTAGTAATAAATTAATTTGTCTACAAAACTAGCTCTACTTAAAATAAACGCCGTAGAACAGCTCAGCAAATTACTATATTTAGATATATGTTTGAAAGTAAAAAACTGTACTGTTTTCTTTCACCGAACAAATTAGGTTGCTTTATAGAGCTAGGTTATGCCGGTAAATTTTAAACACAGACATATTAATACCAAACGTTTCGGAAGCTGTTTAATTGATTTCTCATTTGTATATACATACTTATGTACATTTATATATATTTCAGACAAACAGAGGCGCTGACAGTTTTGGTTCTTCTGAGGAGACAGGTAAAATACATAACATAAATTAATTATTGTCATTTACTTGCTTTGCCGTGTTAGCGGAGTTGTAGATTGGGGGATTTTTTGCTTTCACTGCACACTTAACTGTGACATAAACGAATCGAGTAGCCATGAATATCGTTTGCGCAGTTCAGTTGTGCTGTTTGTGTAAAAATGCAGTACATTGCTGAGAATAGTTATTTATGAATAACAAATCTACTATAATATATTGTATAGTTATTATATAATACATATGTATGTAAAAATATTACAATTTTAATAACAAAAATTGTTATACCAATATTTTCCTGATTATAATTCATTAATGTTATAGACTTTCTTAACTATAAAATATAAATTTTTTATAGTAAATCAAATACTTCAACACCAAATATTATATTAAAATCTAGTTCCTTCTCTGTCGGTTACATTTTATAATCTCTGCTTTTCCGGTTTCGCACAAATTCATTTTTCCGGCAGGGTACATACTCTTATAAATATACATACATATGTGTGCAATTATCTGAAGCGCGCATCATAACATCTTGAACTTATGAATAGCGCCTCGTGTTCAATCGAAGGCATTCTTTATAAACATTAAATAAAAGTAATAGGGCAACACCAATTTCGGGCACTACCAAGCAATTTATGTCCTCACTCGTTAGTGGCTTACACGAGTTCTTTAAATAAAACAAAAACTTAATGCGATATTTTATTGTTCGTAAGGATATAAAAATATCGTTTTATAGAAGGTAATTCGCGTTTGTCGACTCTTACAACAGTTGGTCTGCAGCAGTAACAATAACGGATACTTGGTATTATATTGTGTGGTATATATAATTTTCAAGGTTTAATCTATGCTTATCTTTAAAACGCACTTGTTTCGAGTTATTATGGACTGAAATCTTCTACATGGATTAATAAATATACTTAGACATCTATTTATATGTATACCGATAATTATATTGCAAATAGCAATTATTCCAATTTAATACCTGATGCCTGCGTATCTAACGCATTCCTCCATTAAAAATATCTCATGCTAAATGCTTTTCATAAGAAACATTGAACTCGTGTATATAATACAATAAATAATATTGTAAATACATGTTATATTTGTATATAACACACCTCAGATTACTTGACTACATGAACAATTTATACGGAGTTAATTTCTTGTTAATAAGCAAAGTCGTGTTGCTATCACAAACTGTTTCGGAAGGTTTCTGACATTTAGATTACCCCTACGCTGCGAGTTTTAGCGCTAAGAAACTACCGATATATTAAAGTACACCTCAAACGGAGTCGTCTAATTGTTTCGTATTTACTAAACAACACTCTAAGCGATCGGTGGTGATATCGCAAAGTGTCGTGCCTCATACACAAAAATATAGTGCATATATGTATGTACATGTGCAGGAATATAGCTGAATATTGAAATATTGTCGCAGTCGTTAACAACAATTAAATACTTTTTTTATTTGTTTTTTTCTTGACGGCTTGTAATTATGGCAAGTAGAGACGGTAAATATTTGCACTTTTCAATAAACGTTTATAAAGCATCGCTCCGTAATAAATCACTGTTGGCAAAGATACATACTACATGTACATTATAAGATCGTATATGCAAATATAGTAACTGGAGTAAAAGAAATATGAGAATATTGCTCAATAAAAAGTGTAGTAAATTTTAGTGTTTACGGCAGTGTTCGACATAAATTAGTATATCATGTGAAATCTAATTCTAGATTTTGTGTAAATCCAATGCCGTCTCGTAGATAATTCAATAACGGTATAACTCTAAATAATTGCATAGAACGAGCTTAGTAACTAACTACAAAGTATTTCTAAATTACTATTATATACAAACATACAAAGTTATGTACATATCTACATACGTATGTGTGTATGCATGTACATGCATTAAGTTATGCATTTACTTATGCACGTAACTGTGATAAGTGAACACATCTTTATGGCTTAGCTATTCGATTTTAAAGCCATAAAATATTAATCTCTTTTAAAAAATAGCGATGAAAAATCCACTTGTTGCTATAACTGTTCTTTTGCTAAAAAGAGTGATAAAATGATAATAATCGAGGTATGTCAATAAAAATGTTATAACATGAATATTAATCAGTGATCATAAGGAAATATAATATAAAAATTTGGTTCTAGTGAAGTCATGTTCTGAAAGGAAGTTCGTGAAAGCAAATTAGAAATACTTTTATTGCAAAAAAAAAAAAAGAAATCAATATCGTTGATGTAGTGGCAGAAAGAATGCGCAAAATATTTTGACCGGATATAAGAAATTGTGTGCCGGTTACTGTCGTTCGAACGATGAGAGCAACCATAACAGGTTTGATACCTTATTTACTCCAAAAAGCCGAAATTAAAAGCTCGGAGGGGGTTTACCTAAAGGTTTATATGTATGCATGTTGTTCCTGTAAAAACAATTGATTCTTGTGGGATGCGGTTGGAATGAACTCCACATACCTACATACATTATGAAACTAAATCATTACGCTGTAATAAATCTAACTGACTACATACATATGCATTATATAAAATTTTCTTAATTAATTGATTTCTACGCTTTCAGAGGGCTTATATGAACAAGATTTCCCAAACATTCGTTCAACAATTTTGAATAGCAGTAAAAAGCTATGTCGACCAGCGACACTAACAAATAAGCTACCCATACTCAAATGGCTACCTAGATATCAGCCTTCATTTGTATTTCGCGATGCTATTGCCGGTTTCACAGTCGGTCTCACAACTATTCCGCAAGCGATTGCTTATGGCGTGGTCGCTGGCTTGCAGCCTCAATACGGGCTTTATGCGGCTTTTATGGGCTGTTTCACTTATATTATTTTTGGTTCTTGCAAGGACGTGACTATCGGTATGAAAACATACTTTACTTTCTTAAATGAATTTAATTTTATATTATTTTACATTTAATAATAGCCACTACAGCAATTATGGCTTTAATGGTACATGATTATGCAGTAATTACACCGGATCTCGCCGTTTTGATCTCATTTCTGGCAGGCTGCACGATATTGGTGCTGGGCATTCTTAACCTGGGCGTGCTGGTGCGATTTATTTCGATGCCCGTTATTACGGGATTCACTATGGCTGCGGCGTGTACAATTGGTAGTGCGCAGATTAACAATCTGTTCGGAATGAAGAGTAAGAAATGTTGGAATACTAAAGTATGCGATGAACTCTAACCATAGTAGTTACTTTACAAATTTCAAAAATTATGCAATAAAACCGTTAGTTCCTATATGTTATTATTTAATTATGTAAGCTTTATATAATTTTTTGTATATAACATTTTTAAAATTTCAAATTTATGTACCTTAAAGGTCCGTCAAATGACCTCATTCCGGCGTGGAAACACTTTTTCACGCACCTCCCGAATATAAGTTTGAATGACGCATTACTTGGCGTCGGTGGACTCATATTTTTACTCTTGATGAAGGTATTAACTTCACAGAACAAGACAGCATACATATGTCTAAGAGCAAATAACTTATATACTCTAACTTCTAGCAAGTGAAAAATATACCATATGGCAATAAGACATTTTGGAAATATATTTCTTTGTCTCGCAACGCCCTGGTGGTGATATTCGGTACATTTTTGGCATATCAATTAAGTCGTGATGGCTCCCAACCCTTCGTAATCACCGGGAATATTACAGCAGGCTTACCACCGTTTCGTCCACCACCATTTAGCACAATCGTAGATGGCAAGGAATTGACATTCTCGGATATGATTAGCACGTATGGTTCCTCGTTGGCATCAATACCTTTAGTGTCAATACTAGAAATTGTAGCGATAGCTAAGGCATTCTGTGAGTAAACTCTTATAAATTTTTTCAACATAAGTAATTAGATTTCTTAAATTCTCCTTATATACAGCTAAGGGTAAAATTGTCAACGCATCCCAAGAGATGATAGCTCTCGGCATGTGCAATATTATGGGTAGTTTTGTATCATCAATGCCGGTGACAGGTTCTTTTACCCGCACAGCTGTGAACAATGCGAGTGGCGTTAAAACGCCATTGGGCGGTGCCGTCACTGGTGCAATGGTATTGATGGCGCTGGCTTTTCTTACACAAACCTTCTACTACATTCCAAAAGCAACATTAGCGTCTGTTATTATAGCTGCCATGATATCGCTGGTGGAACTCGAGCGACTTGCCGAAATATGGAAATCAAAAAGTACAACATTTTACGAAAAAAAATATGTTCTATACGCAAATAACTGTTTTTGAATTTTTAATTTAAGGAATGGATCTCTTTCCATTTGCCGTAACTTATTTCACCTGCTTATTTTGGAGTTTGGAATACGGCATTATTTGTGGCATAGTGGTGAATATCTCTTTTATACTATATAGAAGTGCAAGACCACAAATTCATTTAGAAAAGAAAAAGGTAAAAAGTGTTAAAATATTATAATTTATTACCTGCTGACCGTCAACTATTTATAGGTCAGCAATTACGAAATATGTTTTGTGGATGTTAAGCAGAGATTAGATTTCGCGTCTGCGGAGTATCTAAAAGAAAGAGTTGTGAAGTTTATGAGCGGTAATCGCTACGATGTTAGTCTCATTGTTATAAAAGGAGAGGAAATTAATTCAATCGATTACACAGTTGCTATGGTGAGTAAAATATAGTTAAAAATAATAATAAGATTAGTAACAATATTAATATTACAACTAATAATATATTTTGAAGTTTAAAGTGACTTCAAACTCATAGTTTAGTTAATAATTAATTTAATTATATTCTAAAAGTTTATGTATTTTTTATTCGAATTTGATTAGGTAAACATGGTAAAGCATATTTTAATTTTAAATCCATTTGAAACTCAATAATATTTTATTTGGCACTCTAAAGTAATTTTTTAATATACTGTTACATTAACAGTTCATACATTTGTTATGTGCTTTTAGTATTTGCTGGGTAATGCCTAAATAATTTGTGTGCTGAGTATCCTTCAACTTAAACCGAATATAATAATAGATATCCTACCATCGAATTCCAAACACCTCTCTCTCACCAACTAAAAAACAAAAAAAAAAAAAACAATTTCGAAAAATATAACAAAACTAATTTGAAAAAAACCAACTAGTTTTAGATATGAATATTTCATATGAGTACTTTTGTACTTATTTTGATTTTTTCGCTTGCTGTGTCTAATAACACAGTTAAAGTGTTTATATTTTGGGCATAATCAGTCCATAACAACTCAAGTAATGCAGCTCCGGCGGAGTTTCTTCATGACTAATATTATTTAATATAGGAAACTACGTATGTGCATACAAATCAGGCCATAAAAACACACACAATGAAGATTATCTGGCTTCATAAATTTTATTTTAACTGCTATGCCTTCTTGGCAACAATTATATGACATTACTGATCTTAGGGTTGCACTACATTATGTATAATTAAAAAATACAATTTTTTCTTCATTTTCCCCGTTACAAAAATTATTACTTGTAAACATTTAGAAAACATCTACGGTATTAACTCTTAAAATTTTGAGTTTATTTTAAAATATTGTATCACTATTATGCAGAACATCATCTCACTTAAAGAAGATCTTGAGGTACTCAGTTGTGATCTTGTGTGTTGGAATTGGAACATTCGTGCCGCTGGGGTTGTTTGCAGGTTGAATGGCGATTTGTGCTGCTTATTCAAAAATGACCATAGCATCGAGGAGGTGGTGAATAACTATTATTTAAATCTACAAAGGAAAAATGAGAGTTCCATCGATACTGTGTGCACAAGTACTTCTTAGATGGCTTAGGCGTACGCGTGCTAAGTAGAAATATTATTTGTTTAAAGTATGTGTAAATATAATTATACATATATAATAGCTACTATAATGCAAAGGCCAAGTACCATTAACAAACTTAACGCTGATATCAATACGTCACTTGTTGAGCCGATGACAGTTGATGATTAAAAGAATGGCAATATGTATAACTCGTATTATTCTGCTATCTGCACAAATATAAAAATAAATAGTTTTATTCAAATGACGAATTTGCTTGGCTTAAATTAATTTATTGATAAAGGTGTCTTGATCGGAAGTTAATGTTGAAATAATATGGGAATTTGTAATCTGACTCATCAAAGTACAAGCAGCCGGGCGACAATGGCGATTGATTACCTTTCCGTACCGACAGTCACATCCACGCAACTGGAACGCAGTCGGATTTTAAACCTGCCAAGGACTGTCAACTCGGCAACATTTCTCTAAATTACTCCAGGGACATTTTCTGTCGCAATAACAACAGCATTACTCTTTCACCATTTTCAGTGTAACAGACTTTTGAGGGGTTCAAACAACTTGTTCATAGGCTTTGTAGGATAACCTTAACGAAACAGCACTTTTTTAAACCTCTTCTTAAATTATAGCGAAAACATAGATCTGTACACAATTTTAAACATCCGGTTTGGTCCTCCCGGAAACACTTGATTCAACGCATAAAATTTTAGGTATTTGTTTTTCGAGTATTTGAAATGTAATATTAACAGTATTTTAAAGGGTAAGTACAGTTGAAAAATTCCAAAAATAAGTGTTAAGCGCTAAAATATTGTATTTCTGTTGTAAGTGCTGTATTTTGAAAGCTGTAGCATTAGTAAAAAAGTGTTAAAATGCAACCCTGGCTTTAAATAATGTGGCAACACCTATATTTCGCCAGATAAAAGGTGTGTATAACGAAAGAAAGATAATTTATTGGAAGTTATTTATATAGTTCATTCAGTTCTCAAATCAACTTTATAAATATTAAATAAATATAGTTTTCGTGCATCGAAATGTTTCACTAAACGCTGCAAGTTTATGCAGCAACTGGAGGACAGTCAAAGCGGCACTCCAAAGTAGGGAAAAATGCAATCTGCATATTTGTTTTGCCTCATATGTGATTGCGTTTATACTGGTAGCTGCATTAATTGGAATTAATAAGCGAGGTGGATTTAATTAGTGGGTGCAACCAATTATACAAACGCCCACTCATACCAATAATACGCTTTGTTGATGCTGATCTAATTTAAACTTATACACATTTTACCTTGGATGATTTAATTCGTGTTGTTTCAGTGAATATTTGTGCAATATATTGTTTCTACGTCGCGGGAGAAGGGCAGCACCCTTCGAATTAATATTCTTGAATGTGCTTCGCTAGCACTATTGTTGAAGCCCATAAAAAATTCGTCACACCGGTAGGAGGTCTGAACGCAAGCGCTTATAGTAAGAGGGAACACAGAGATATTTTTGGCAATAATACAAATTTAATGAGAATGTCACGTACTAAATCACGCTTACAAATTGAAATATGTGGCGATTGTGGAGCATCAGGTGAGTAATATATAAAAATGCCACAAAATATATAATGACTAATATATAAAATACTTAACTATCGCAGATCCTTCGTGGGCTTCAATAAATCGCGGTATTCTACTTTGCGCTGATTGCTGTTCAGTACATCGCAGTCTAGGGCGTCACATATCCATGGTAAAATCCTTACGACAAGGCACCTGGGAGCCATCAGTTTTAAATTTTGTGAATTCGTTGAATGCGCATGGGGCAAATAGCGTTTGGGAGCATCATTTACTCGATAACAATGCGTCGAAAAGTGATAAAAGTGTTCCGCGTGTACGTAAACCGAATCCAAAAGATCCCTTGCATCCAACCAAGTCTGATTTTATCAAATCAAAACACGTCAATCTGGTATTTGTTTTAAAATCAAATCTTCAAGAAGAAGGTGTCATATCTGGCATAAATTTGGAAAATGAACTTAGCAGACAATTGCATGCCAGTGTACGGACAAGCAATTTAGAGACATCTCTTCGCCTACTCGTGCAAGGCGCTAATCCAAACTTTTTCCATGACGAAAAACGTTCAACGCCACTTCATGTTGCTGCCAAATTTGGACAAGCGTCGCAAATCGAATTGCTTATTGTCAACGGCGCAGATATTAATGCCATTGATGGTAATGGACTCACACCCCTGGAAGTGGCCAAAGCTAATAATCATAATATTATAGCTGAGAGATTATTGGATGCAATGTATGAAGTAACAGATCGGATTATAATGTTTTTGGGTGGCAAAAAACCAGATCACACGGTGAACGAAGACTTCGCTTTTTATTAAAGTTTTATTTATTTATATATTATTTATATCTGTTAATAGTCAGGTAACCATTTAGTTATACCAGAAACGGCTAATACTGAAATAAGTGAACAGCTCACCATTGCACGAAACCGTTTACAAGTTGTGCCAAACAAAATGTTCGAAGAACTGGTCATGGATTTATACGACGAGGTAGACCGACGTGAAAATGAAGCAAGTACGTGAAAGTGTATCAATATAAAAAATAATATGTTTTAAAATGATTTTACTTAAATTTAATTAGTTTGGGCAACTTCCACACTCAATGCTGAGAATGTAGCTGTGCCATTCCTACCGGCGAATCCCTTCTTAAGCGCCACGCGCAATCAAGTAAATATTAAAAAAAAATAATAGTAACATAAGTACTTAAATTGATTTTCATCTAAATTTATAGGGTAGACAAAAGCTTGCACGATTTTCGCGTAAAGAATTTGCTGGCTTATTAACGGATGTGCTGTGCGATGCACGTCGTCGACAAAAAATCGCAAATTTGCGTCCACTCGACACGCCCAATTTGAATTCCTTTTATCACCCATCATTATTAAATGAAAACGAACTCGAATTGTCCGATGATGAACCCATTTACGATCCAGTGGCAAGTGATGATGATTATGCGCCGGTGCCGCCGATTGCACAGCAGGTAAATATTATGTAGGAAGAGTTTCTAAAGCTTCACTATAGTTTGTGATGAACGTAGAGCAAACAGAAAATAAATATTGTCTTATTGATTTTGCAAAATTTAAAATATAGCAATTTAGTTGATGTTTTTGATAATTTTCTTAAGTACGTAAAGTGTTGAGTTTATTTACGAACCTTTATTTTTAAAACTACATATTAGTACAATGTACTTTATTTTGAGTTTTTAAGTCACTTATTATTTTGCATTTCGTATTCGCTAATTCAGGCTATTGTGCATCAAACGCCCGACGAGCCACAGCATGAAGTGCAAACGCTATTGAGACAGATAAACGACTACAAATATGTGATTAATCAGCTGAAATCGACTGTTGAAAAGCTGTCGTCGGAAAATTCTGAACTGAAATCAAAGTTTTCCAACAATGCACCTGTTGACTGTACGATAAATGAGACTGTCGTTCACCATGATGCGCTGTGAGCTGACTTTATTTTCTTTTTTATTTAATTTCATTTCTTATTTTTTTATTTGATTTTAAATTTTTTATTTTTGTTTACACTTTTTTTCATTTTTCAATCGAACACTTGTGTCTATAAAGCCGTACCGAACCGTTAAATGGTGTTGAAAATGGAAGCGAACCGCTTTCACTACCAGAGGATGTCGTCAACGCACCCGTAACTATAGATTCCAATTCTTCTAGTTCTTCGTCGGCCAACAGTTCGAACCAATCGACCATTAAGCGTCCAGCAAGTATGTATGAACGCCGCATCGCACCCGCTTTGTTTAAACCGAACGTTGAATGTCGCACCACGACGAGTATGTATCAAATGGCTGCTGATAAGCCATTTTCGGAGGAGTTGAAACATCGCACAGATTTGGTGACACGTCGCGTGAAGGAGCTGGTGGCCATCATGCAAGATCTACCGACCAACAAAGACGAATTGGTGCCGTGTGGTGAGCGCGTACGTACTACGGGGATGGAATTGATTTCTATATTTTCTACAACGGTAATTTGCACGCACACTGATTTACAAAAATTCACCACACCATTTTGTTAAAATTGTATTTTTTGGTCTTTTGCAGTCAAATTACAACGAAACCATTAGGGAAATGCTTAAGACATTGACCCGTTATAACATTTTGATACCACATGAATGCGAAAATTTGCAGAAATCGTATGCCATGGAAGATAAAACGGCAATTGAGAAGTATAATCATGAAGTGCGTGAATGCGCCTATTATATTGTTAGCGCAATGAAAACGCTCGTCATGCAATACGAATGAAGGCATATAATTAAACATATGAATTTGCTAATTGTGTTGTTATAACGAAAATACTAATTTACAAAACACAAAAAACAAAAAATAAATAAACTTGGAATACCCCTACCCTGTTAATAATGTCTCGCATAATTTTTTTCTCCTAATTCGAATTTTTCAATTTCGAAAATTACAACAATAATTCCAAAACTCACCAAAAGTGGCAGAAAGCAATTGAACTTAATTCAAGTTCTCCGAATTTAACGCTACTAATGTTTTTTATAGCTTGTTACATATTTTCCAGAACCTGGGAGCTCGAAGACTGCAAAAAAAATTGTTTTCCAATTTTGACACTAAGTGGAGAAGTATTTTCTTTTTTGGGATTTTTTTAAGGGATGGGCGACAATACCGCGAGCATTTGAGTTTTGGCCACGTTTTTGTAGCAACAGGAATCATTTTACAAATAGTTTTGAAAAATTCCGCCGAAGTGACTGCAGGGAATTCTTAGGAAATTTTTTTTCAGGCTATATAATTTGTGGTATACCCGGAAGTGATCGGTGATCAAAACATGGATTTTATTTAAAACCAAAGGCGTCAATCTAAAATTACTTAAATATAATAAAACAATCTTAAAGCATTTAGTTTAGAAATATGCTTATATTTTCATTATTTAGACTATAGCATAGTAATTTGTCTAATACAGTAGTAGCTCAATTGTAGTCGCACTAATTTGTACTCATAGAAGAGAACTGATGTATGTATATCTTTTTAAGAATACCTTTATTTACTCCTCTTCGGTTTCGGTAATCACAGAATTCTTCATAAAAGATTCACTTTTCAACAACAAGTGTTTGTAGTGTTCTTCATCCTGAATTTGAATGATACGCTGCTGTACAATCGGAGCCAATTCGCAACTTGCCTGTTCCAAATCATCTAAAGAGGCGCGTCTTAACATCTTCAAAGAACATACATACATACATATTAGAGTATATTGGATTTGTAATATTACAAATATTTCTAACCTTGGAAGCTTTGCTGTTAGTATGATGATCTACAGATTTCGCCTGATGACCAACAGATAATTTTCTTATGGGCGATGGTCCATCTAGATGCAAATTCTCGAGCATTTGTACCATACTGTGACGCCGCGAGAGCGTAACTAAGGATTGTCGATGTTTGGTATGGTGGTCGCTTTTGTCATTGCGTATATTGATTGCTTTGAAATGATTTTGTATGGTCAGACCCAGTTCAGGGCATAGGTCTTCGTCGATCTAATAAATGAAAAGCAATTCAAATCAATTTTAGTTTCATGAAATGTGCGGCCAATATCAGGCATACCAAAATTTGTGCTTTTTTAAACATTGTAAAGCCATCACAACCGTTATGTATATAGCTTTTAATACATATTTTGTACATTTGTTGTAAATTAATCAATTCGTCGGCTACCTGTATTAACCGTGGATCAATACGTTGCCCGGGTGGTTTGGCGGGATCAAAGGCGAATGTCACGCCACTTACCTAACAATAAATATACAAAGTTTTATAATATGTAAACAAAAACCGATTTTTAAATTAATGTAAGTATGTTTTGGCGTTATTTGGACTCACTTGGGGAAATCGACCTTCCAATTTCGGATAAGCTGAGACGGCATTCTCCAAAGCTTCCCACAAACATTTACCACTAATACTTAAAAGTATGAGAGGATCACGCATCGGTATAATATTAACTAAATCACGCATTGTAAACGGTCCCGGGGGATGTATTTGATCTGAGCGAAACGTGCCTGCGTTGATGATGACCACGTCAGCGCCGGTAGCAGCGAGTACAACATCGCATACCCAATTGCCTAAATTCGTTTCCTGCGTGCGAATGATGGAAAAGCGGCCTTCCAACTCCACACTAAAGTTGCCCAGCACTTCGGTCATTTTAGCCTCAACAACCTCTGAAAATTGAAAGGAAACTAATATAGAAATATATTTATAAATATATGTGTGATTGTTTTAAAAACGGATTGAAGAATTATTACCACAAAGAGGTTTGTGAAATTTATCATCCCGTTCCCGTTAGGTGACGGTACAGTTAAAATGTAAAGCTACGAACTATTGTCAATTAAAATTCCTCAAAAACGGATAAAAATATCGATAACAACTCCAGTTCGATTCGTTGATAAAAATGTTACACAATCTGAAATACAAATATGAATATTTAGAGCTTCTTACCTGAGTATTTTTCCAGTTCCTCCTTGAGTTCTTTATCTTCGGCAAAATCTGATGTAACATTCACTGGTTCAATTTCTATCAGAAGTTTGCCATTCTCATCACGTTCCTTATCTAAAGTGATCTTCGAAAACTGTCGAAAATCAGTGCCAGACTTTACAATTTTCACACCATTAACCTCCTTAATCTCATAAACATGATCGTGACCACCAAGAATGAGATCTATACCCGAACAATTGGCCGCCAACTTAAGATCATTCGGCGTTCTCATGTGCGTCAAAGCGATTATAATATCACAACCTTCTTTACGCAACTGGGTTACTAATTTGTTACCAGCATCGACATAGTCGATATAGCTAACTTCATTTGGATCTATGGTGGGCAAGGTTTCCAGCCATTCGCGTTCGACAAGTCCCACCAGACCGATTTTTATTTCATCATGTAATATGGTATGCGTAACTTTTCCACCTCCCAGTGGTCTACCGGTTTCTTTGTCAACCACATTGGACATGAGCCAAGGAAAATCGGTATTCTTTATTAAGTTTACCAGTACGTCCAAGCCGTGATCTGGAAGTATGTTAAAATACATATATAATTTATAGTAATGAGAGAATATAAAGAGAGAAGTATACCCACCAAAATCGTGGTTTCCAAAGACAGCACAATGGGTGCCCGTTCTTCTCAATACTGGTAGCATTTGCTCGCCCTGAGTGAATGTGCTTACTAAAAAAAACGAACAAAAATTGTGACTTTTACTTGACGACTTCCAAAAGACGTTTAACTTACACATGCTAGGAGAGAAAATATCACCACTGAAAAGTATCAGTGGATTGAGATGAGCAAAAGACTTCAGTGCAGTGCAAAAACGCGCAGCGCCTCCTACGGGCTCCTTCCCGCTGTTTGCTTCTATATTATAGACATCGTTGTAATGTAAAATAGTTAAAGGTACACCGTTTAATGTGGACATTTTTAATAAAGTTTGTGACTTTTCCAGTTCTAGCGCTTTCGAATGTGAATTGCTGCGGCAGTTTAGATTTGTTAATACTGTCGAGTATAATTTATGTAGATGAAATGATATACCCCGCTGCGATGAAGATTTTAGCTTGTAATTATCGTTTGATTCCGTGCCAACAATAAATTCTTCGAATAATAAATTTGATTTTAGACGTTGATTTTCGAATGGTTTTCGTTTTCCGACTTGCCGAAATATTAATTGACGGCTAAAACGGTTAATAAAACTGCTATGAATATTTAGATACATACATATATTATATATAATAAAAAAATATATTAAAAAACGTGAAAAATGTATTGCAATTTTGATTTATTCGTGATCTCGAGTATGTGGAAATTTTGAATTTGATGATCCCATTTAATATATGATTTGACGACAAGACATATTTGTGACTTGATTATTATTATGTATGTACATCATTATCGAATTCTTCAAATTAATGAGTTATATGTACATATTAATGCTGTATTAATGTACTGCTAACATTATAGATAGTTTTAAACTTTCCAAATAATGTAAATAATATTTAAAACCTCAAAAAAAAATCTCAATCCTAAGAGACAGAATATTTCAGATTTTTTATTTAAATGCACCAATATTGTAAAGAACACTGCGGTTGTTGATTATAGTGCCACTGCTACGTTAAATTATCACAGTTTTTCAGCTCAAAAATACTAACAGAACTAAGTCAACTTACTACAAATTTTCAATGGAATTGGTAGAAACGCAAACAAAATTGAAGTTTGTTGCCCAAATCTTTTGTTTCAATGTAAATAGTATATATTAGGTCCACATACTTAAACATATGTATGTATGTATGTATTGCAAAGTGCATAAGCACACACGGTTTTTACTGTTTTGATGCACATTATGATATCGAGTCTGCTTTTACACACTGATCCAATCATTAACATTTAATAACACTGGTCTGCAATGGCTTTTTTGCCCTAGATATAAGATCAGTTTTGGTCATATTTGTGCTCACAATTCATGACAATATCAATGATTTTGTAAAATTTGCTTTTATTTACTTACATATCCTTATTTTCATCTTATATTCATATATTTATATCAGTTCAGCGTTCGTTATACCTTTACTAAACGTCTTATATAAGTTCTTCCTTTATAATTTTCTAGTTAACAATATTGTTTTAAGGATCAGAAAGAAGCTGGCACAACGGAACGATCCCATTAACCCCTCTTCCTGTTTCTCCCCATAATTATCTAAATTATCCGAAAATGTATCCATATGATTGCGAATATAGTTTAATTTGGTCGCTGTTGTAGTATCACAAAACAGCTGAGTTGACGAATAAATTTGCTAAGATATTCAGGACAACAAAAAAATTGTTTTTGTACAACCGTGTAATTTTGAAGCTGAAAGAAGCCTCGATATGAAAGTTAGTTCGATAAATTGATTGGTTGAATTTCACTTCATTCCATTGTCCACACCATATTAGGTTTGGCGGTGAGTCAATATTCTACATAAAAAAGAAAAATAACTAGCAGCGCATATTTACATATTTTTTTGGTGTGTACCAATTTTTGTTATCACAATGCAAAAATTGGTCAATTAAATATCATATTCGTCCATGTCATTCTACGTGGCAGCAGTCAAAAATTTGATTTTTTCAATTAAATATGATATTCATCCATGTCGTTCTCCACGACAGCAGTCAAGAATATTACTCGCATACATTCGAAATTTTGTTTAATCAATTATAATGTGTATTCTGAGAACTACTTTCCTCCCCACATCAAACAGCACTTTAAAGGTCATAGTGACAAATCCATTAATTTTATAAACAAGTTTCACAATTCCAAATACAGAAGCTTCGTGTACAAAATTAGAATTCCTAATGTTTTATTTACAAATGTCCCAAAAAGAATGTTAAGAAAGTAGCTAACTGTAACTAAGGTCAATGTGCTTGATTTGTATCAGCTGTCTTCTGCTGGAGACAGCCTTGCCTATGTCAACATTTTACGGCAATTGTATGTACATTATATGTAGTTACATACGTGTATGTTCATCACAGTTGTCAAACCAAAACGAATGCGCCGAAAAGTCTGTATGCGGTAAAGTTTGGCGTTTTTTTTTTTAACTTTTTTTATGTGGAAGTGCAAATTTTAAAAATGTATCTAAAAAATATTTCGTACGCAAACACTTTTTAGGTGCTCAGATAACATTCACATAGACATATTTCAAAAATCACAGGTTTATAGTTTTACGGCCCTTTATAAAAGCTTTCTACAACAAATATTTACTATTGCAAATTTTGCAACTTTAATAACAATGCACTTATAAACTTTACTATTAGGAAAAGGATTTTGTTGTAAATTCAACTTTAATTCATAATGAATAGTATGTGTAAAAATTATTGATTAAACCGTTTATTGTCACTAATGCATTCCTAGTATTTATTTGCCAATTTTTCGCATCACTTAATATTATTGTTGCTAAATCGCGCCCTTTTGTCGAGAATGAAGATCATAAGTGGTAATTCTTATTCAATATTACTGCGACCAAAATTCTTCAAATTTTCCACAAAAGATCTACGAGGTATGCATATATAAGAATCGAGTATATGCATTTTTCGCTACATATATCCACATATGTACATTAATCCATCGCGCTCAAATTTAGCATTGTTCTATATTAAGCTACCAAAGGAAGGTCAATATCACTTTTTCACTGTCTTTTAGTTTTCCTAACGCGAGGCGCACTCTAGAAATTTTAATACCTATCTTATGTTAATGTACTTTATTTCCACTGAAAACTGTGTACTTAGGTGTGCAGAGGAGAAATCTATTTCCCATTGTACTTGTTGTTAAATTGTGCTTATGAAAAGTAACCTTAACTGACTTCCATTGTAATCTCACACTTGTTCAGTGTTTTGCATTTGCGCTTTTGACAAGTAAACAAGTGCTGCCATGATTGACAAGTAATGCTTACCCTACACTATGTTGCTGAACATCTGAGATATCTACTGATGCCTTTTTTCGGAAAGCTCCAAAGAAAATGTGCAGTGTCGGCTGTATTTTGTTTACAACGCCATTAAGGTTAATAAACACTTATTAAATAATTAATATGCAATAAAACAAACTACTCGAATGTAAACCTTAATAAGAGAAACCAAAAATAAATTAATCTAAGCAAAACAATTAATTTGTGCGTTATTTTTTTAATTATATCGTATACATACATATATTTACTCTAGTTCTTATTATAAAATTATAGGAATTAAATATGACAATTTAACACCATTACTTTAATACTATTTAACAGCTGGATAACATTTTTACATTTTAAAAAGCATCTAGCTGTGTCTCATTTATTACTGTCTATTTAGTTTATATTCATTTTATTACATAAACATAAAAAAACATACTGAAAATAAACATATTTTATAGTCAAATTTAACCGTAATTAAATCAAAGTTGTTTAAGTTAATTGGATATATAATATAATTAAAATACATATATGTATATATCCATATAATCTTCTACACATTATTCACTTTTTGAATACTACACAGAATGGCTATTGTGTTGAAACAATATTGCGCATTTGTCTTATAGCCGTTACTAAACGCGGTTCACAGCCACCGCTTAAAGCCAAGTAATTCTCTGGATCAGCTTTAAGTAGTGTCAAAATTTGCGACAAACCAACACTAATCGACAAACCTAGTTCTTCTACGACATTCGACAAATACTCAATATCTACGGCAAATTGTTTAGAAGAAGTGGGCGGCAGTGACTTAACTTGCAATATTTGAGACTGATAGAGTTGACAACATTGCTCCACTACTAAAGACAACAATATGTCCGCACATGGAACAGGCTGGGTATATTTAACATTACAAATCTCAAGAGCTTGTTTAAGTAACGGAGATGGTGTAAATAATAGCGGTTCCAAATGTTGTGGCAGTGTTAGTAAATATTGCCCTATTTGAGTAATACATTCTTGTGGTACGAAACTAAATTCCGGCATATTAGCTGGCAATAATGAATCAGAATTTAGGTTTAGAGATGGTTGTATATTTACAAGATGCTCCTCCACGGGTTTTAACAACACATTTAAAGCGATTTCATGCGTTTCCTCACAATGTATTTTCACTTGGTCACATATTGAAGCGAAAAATCTTGAAGATGATGAATACGCGCCACTAGCTTCTACTAATTTTTGTTGATATCTTTCTATGGTATTTAATAAATATGTTTGTTCTTGATTATCCAGTATGTCACTTATATTGTAGTTTTTATCCATTTTTGCGGAAACAATATATTCCTTTAGTTTAATCAAACGGGTTTGTATATGTTTCTCAAATTTGTTCAGTTTAATTTGAAAATCTGCCAAACACTGTAGAAGTGACATTGCACACTGCAGTGCCAACCAATTTTCTGTAGCATGCCCAATACTTAAGGCGATTTGACGTCGAGTTTTTGAGAAATTATCCAAAATTTTCTTTAAAATTCCACTCATAATTTCAATAAGTTTACACAATCCCAAATCGTCTGTTATATTTTTACAGCGTTCACATGATTCATTCAGCCAATCGAAAATTTTTTGGTTGCAATTCTCCAAATGACGCACAGAATCTCCTGCAGATGCATGGCTTACTAATATTTTATCGATTTGTGCTGAAAAATGTGTTTCCTCTATACGTGGATATTGATCTATAAATTTGTGGAAGTACCCGTATACGGCTTGCACCATTTGATATTGCATTTCTTTAGACAATTCGATTTTCGATTGCTCTAGGAATGCTGTTAAATGCGACAGAAACTTGTGATTCGCCTGTGCACAGTCTTCCAAAAGTTCGAGTCTCTCGTTACACGCTTTAAGCAATTGAAATACATGATTCTCACGTGTTGGTTGTAATGTTGGTAATAGTTCTATTACTACTATAATTGGTTGAAAATTTCCATGATCATAATCGAACACATCCGCACACCATTTTACTTGCTGCTGACATTGCTCCACCAAACTCGTATAGAAGATTGAAAGAAACTGGTGCTGCATCGTATTTTCCGTCGCTTGCACGTCCAATATTTGTTTCCATTTCTGTTGTAAGGAATTTTTTTGAACGGCTCGATAGTATTGTTCCAGTTGTGAGATACGTCCGATGCCAGTGAAAATATTTACGTATTGCTTCGTCTGTTCTAAGTCACCTTCAGCAAAACATTGAACTACATTTGGTGAAGCCAAAGCTTCTAAACGATTTTTAAAGTCTTCCACTTGAGTGAGTCGCTCAGCATGTCCAGGTAATTGCTCTTGTACATGTAAGGATTTTTGCAAGCTTAGCAATTTTTCAAAAGCACCCTATATAAAAAAAAAATTTTTTACGTATGCATATAATAGTTATTTAACTACGTACCTTCATGTTATTATGTTCAAAGCAATCCTCCAATTCACTTATTAAATTTCCCCAACCGTCGGATTCTTGCAGTGATTCTTTGGCTTTTTGTAGTTTACTTTGGATGGTATTTAAACGTTCCAATGTAGCCATGCAATCACCAGTTTCCTCTTGCACATCCGTCATTTCCTTTCGCATTGCTTGCATACGTTTTTTTAATTCCTCCACCTCAGCTTGTAGTAAAAGAGATTCCTTAATAACACGCGGCATACCAGATACTAATTTTTGACCGGTTTCTTCAACAGCACAGTGTACTTGCTGTATATACAAATGTAATTTGGAAACGTATTTGTCAATAAAACTCATCGCCAATACGTCGGTATCATCCGCCGAAGTACTTTTATCCCTACATCCGTCTCCATGTTCCGCTGCATATTTATTGTAGTTTCCATTTATCCAATCAATTGCGTTAAATGTGTCATCCGACAACGCGGCAATATCCATCTTTATTATAATATTATTTGTTTAGAAACTTTATGCGCTTACTAAATTTTTTTCGTCTACTCAATGACAGTTAAATAATTTCATTCCAGTAAATACGCACAGATGGTGTACGTTGCAACTTGGCAATGTAGGGATGATTGAAAAGCTATCGATATTTATCGAATGTGAACCTTGAAATTCTTTTGTATTTTTATTTCGTCACTAACCGCTGAATTATAGTTTTTCAAAGTGCTGGCAACCATTTTTTTAGTTTGTTTACATTTAAATATTTTAACTTGTTATATATTTTAATAGGGAGAGATACATGTATTAATAAAAAAACATATTTAGCGGTCAAAAAGAATTTATATTTTTATTCAAATATGAATTTTTGTTCAGAAAATATAAAGAATTGTTTATTTATGCCAAAAAATCAAGATTATGATGATGCACTGTACGGTGTAAGTGTATAGTGTATATATTATAAAATATACATATCCTATGTAATATTAAAAAAAAAAATATTTCCAGTCCTTACTAAAGCTGGTTCCTTTTGGCAAAATAGTCCTAGTAATTACACGGGCGGCGTCATCGCCTGAACTATTACCATTAATGGAACAGACAGGAATGCAGGTGTACAACAATAAGCAAAGCTTGCGGCGGTTCTTTTTTATGTAAATATATATGAGAATTACCCTCAAATTAAAATACTAATGTTATTATTGATTTCAGATGTAGTGATAATATTGTTGGAGTTATTAAAATATTGTTTGATATACACAGGTGGACGGTTAAACCTCATATAATTGTATTGGATCTAAATACATTTAGTTTAATGGAAAATGAAAATACACATATTCTGAATGATATGTGTAAAGATTTGTCAAGTGGGACACAATTAAAACGTGTAGTACAATGTATTGCTACATTATTTAATAGGATGAACGTATTAAACAACATGCACTCGGACGCTGTAGAAGACCAGACCAATTCCTCGAAATTATTTAGCATTGTATTGTTACCAAAATATAGCAGACTATTAACTGATAACGATATTCAGCTTATCATAGAAATGTTCTATTCTGACAATGCATACGAAGATTTTTCAGACATTTTTGAGTTAATGTATTCAACGGTTTCTCCTGATAAAGTTATATAGTAGAAATATAACAACTAATATAGTTGACTAGAAGAATATTATGGCTTAAACTCAGTTTAAGGAACCTAAAAATATTATTCCAATAGTAATATAACAGCGAACTAAGTTTACCTATTAAATCTGCTGTAATGTCTTAAGCGGTCAGATTAATCAGCTTCAATACGGAAAATTGTGCAAAACTTTCTTTGAGTCACCGTGGTTTTGAAACCGGGTGACAATGGTACTTGTCGACTTTCGAACAGTCCAAAGATAAACATTGTTTTCAGAGTCATCGTTGCCGTCTCCTGAAACAGACGGTTCTGAATATTGACCCAGTAGCTGGCAATTTGTATGAAAGTATCATTGTAATTACTTTTATTTACTTATATACAAGTTTAATAAGGCCTGAAGGAGATAAATACTTTACCTTTTTATTCCCAGTTCGGATTAAGATAGACCTAACCTCTTAAGCCCATTATTAAACGCAATATCCTATAACCCATGTTACAAAGCGAATAATGAAGACATTAAGATGTGATTTTTACATCCATATTTATTTGCCATAATATATTTATGTACACAGTTTTGGTAATTATCATTTCATAGCATTTTCGGAAACTGAAATCCGAACCGTTCTAAAAATGAAAAATTACAAACTCACTTTTTCCTTGATTAAAGAAAGAACAAAATCAACCATATTTCTGAATTGACGCTTCACTAATCAGTGTTTACGATTAAGCCGCTAATTATTGGTAATAGTCCACCAATCGAGCTGATATTTTGTATTCTTGTCACAACAACCACATAGACTACCTCATGTATGAATATGTGCATATAGATGATTCGCGATATATTTTCATGCAGTTAACACAACCCTATGTTGATCTTTTTCGTTTTTAGATAATTTTGTATAGCTTTTCGTTGCGAAATATAAGCGGGCATTTAAAAACAGCACTTTCTAAAATTTCGACTTGCTTTGCAAGCGCTCACCGACTGCATACAACTCTGAACGTTAAATAAATTATGTGTTAACTTAATGCTATTCTAAAGCATTAACGTATGTATGTATGTGAATTAAATTGAGCTTGTAGCAATGCGAATGCAATTGAATGAAGTGGTTAACCAATTAAAGATAAAAATTATACTGCCAATCAGTACGCCAATTTACCATTACAAGGAAATTAGATTATAAAGAAAATTACCCCGTAACAAGAACACAAAGAAACGTAAACTGTGCTGATGCGTTAAAATATAACATTGTTAGGTCCTGTTTTCGAAGTTGCCGGGTAAATGTGTACACTACACTTGCTATGTTGAAAGGTTCGCATTTTATTATTATTTTCTTTATATAGCATACTATTTAAATATGAATGCTTTAGTAATAGTAATAATAACTACATTTAATTTTTGTTTTATTTTATGATCTTAGTCTGTTTAACATTAGATTATCATCGTGGAGTTTTCTATCCACAAGGATGTATTCTTAATATTCAATATTTCAAACCAGCAGCAACAAATTTCTGTTTGATGATGTTTCTCTATTTTTATTTTTAATGTTTAAATTTATAATGATTTATTATATATCATGATGTGTCGTGATTATTTAATATTTTCTGTATACTTTGTATTTGCATTTAACTATGTATGTATGTATGTATATATATTATATATATATATATATATAAATTAAAATTTTTGACATTTCATCCTTGCATTAGCAATTCATTAAAAGTATCCTTTATTTTTCCGGTGTGTATGTGTGTGTGTTTTGTTTTTATTTATGTGATATAGATTTTGAAAATAAAAATATCCAATTTCTGTTCAATGAATGCTTAATTTTTGTTGTTGTTTGTTTGTTTGGAACAAAAAAAAAAACTTATCTATTAGTTACAAGAAAATTATTAACATTATTTTAGGCATCTACATACATATGTAAGTATATCGCATACATAATATTATTCAACGAAAAGCCAAAAGATCAACTCAAACCAATCGAATAGTTCTATTTCAATTATATATATTTTTTAATTCACTTCGGTAAATGTGATACATTTAAACCTACTTCTTTCTATTTATTACTAGTTTTGATTGACAAAACCGTAAATTTTATATTAAGATAAAAACTATTTTTAGCACTAAATCTAGTGGTGAAAGAACTTATTTATAATTTTGTCACGACTCCAAAAAAATTTAACTTTGACTCTTCTCCGTACGTTAATTGTCCGAAAAGATGCATCAACTACTATATATGTATATTTTTTTTATTCAATATTGTTTTGCTACTATTCAATTATCAAAAATACAATTCATTTTTCAAATCCATTTTCTTCTATTTATGCAAAAGGATAATCCATTTGATTTTTATAGGGATATATTCAACATCAGTTAATAAAACTTTATTTCGTTTTTGTGGTCAAACCCGTGGACAATCACTTGGCATTCGTGAATACTATTATACTCCCTCAATTCACTGTACACCCCCAATTTTTTTTTTTTTTTTGATATTTTTTTGTGTATTTCTAAAATTTTTCCCTTAAAGGAGTGGTAGACAGCACTCCTTCGGTCTTCTGTTTAGTTATAGGAAAGTATTTGTTATGTTCAACACTTTCACTATTAGTTACTAATTCAAATTTATTTATCAGTATTATGTAATATGCATCATTCGTCATTCTCCAAAAAAGCCCCACAGATTTTCGACATATATTTTAATTCGGTTTAAAACGAAGTTTTTGTCAAACAAATTCAATGCTTAAATGCCCGCAAATAATTTTAATTGAAATTTTTGACGTTCTCCCTTTGCTCTCTTCGCATTTAAAATTCTTTTAGTAACTTGTTTATTTCTTCGTATTTCTTGGTGTTGTTGTTGTTTCACTTTCTTATTGCAAACCTTCATACGCAAAAACACATCACTGGTGTGTCGCCATTCTCAACGTTTACCTTTCGAGTTTTTCTTCCTCTTATTGTTGCTGCTGTTAGTTGTTGTTGAGTTGCTGTTGCTAGCTGCTTGTTGCAGTGATTCTCAACTTCTTTCCGGCGTGCTGTGATGATGATAGATCTGTTGAATTTGTTGTTGTTGCTGCTGTGCAACACCTGCACTGCTATGTGCCACCTGGCTGCTGGATGTTACAACATCTTGCTGCTGCTGGATATGTTGCTGTTGTTGAGCATGTACTTGTTGCTGCTGATGATGAGTCTGTGGTTGCTGAATGTGTACAACATGTTGGGTTATATGTTGAGGTGTCTGTGATTGAGTTTGACCGCCATGCTGAGGTTGTTGATGTGGCGACGGACTATACTGGAACTGTTGCTGAAACATATGTAACTTTATAATTTAGTTATTAACGCATTCGTTAAGAAAATAATGTAATGTGAATGATGTCGTTGTGTAATCGCACTTTGCTAAAATATCGTTCTAAAAAAGATTGCTTGCTGATATTGCATCCTTTTAGGCGTTGTATCACAGTTAACTCTTGCTCTTCAAAAATCTGCCTAAATTTCACTCAAAAGAACCTAACCTATTTGCAATCGACTTTCATTGTAACTAAGCTAAATTATGATTTTATAGCATATCGAGGCAAAACCCCACAAAATGGAAACGTTTTTATGATGTTACGATATAAATCTAAATGGCTAACAAAAAAATTTATGTTTTTCAACTATTATGTAATGCCCAAAACTTGGAAATAAAAAATATGAAATATGCTTGTAACAAACACCGAAAAGTTTCTAAATATCCAACGTTAATATCTATGTACATAGAACAGCTGTTACCATCTGTCATCTAAAGAATATGATGCGTTTAGCTTCTTCAAGTATTGGGTAATTAAAAAAATATATATTTTTTAATACCAAAAACATCAAACATCAAACAACAACAACAAACAAAAACAAAAAGGCGCCTTTTAAATTCACGACAAAAGAAGAGTGATTACCAATACATGTTTTCTGCATGAAATTCTGACTCACCGAGTTTTCTTGACTATGTTCGATAATTTCGATGCTTCCCGAAGTGTTTCCTGATGCATTATTAATGGAGGTGCTACTTGTATTAGTAACGTCATACTTTCCACGCTTAAAGCGACCATACAAAGAGCTGTAGGGAAGGTTATAGTGAATTGCGGCCTGATTAATAGACATCTGACCAATGCTGAAACGAGAAAAATTAAAACATTTCATAAAAAGTGTAAACAATTATTGTCAAAAGTAGATTTTAACATACCGAACTGAATTCAAAGCTTCATTCATTGCGTCTTCCGACCATGGTGTTGGATTCGAGCGTGATAACTCAATGCCTTCGCGCTTACAACGACCGTATAGGGTGCCTTTGGAAGAAGCAGTATATATATTTAATAATGTTAAGTTAATTCTAAAGAATTAGAACTGAATATGGATCTCGCACACTTTTTGTGCTTTATCACCTTTATTTTTCATTAAAACTCTTTATTATTATTAGTTCAAAAATAGGAATTTTATTTTCTTCTAACTTACCCGTAGGTATGCCAAATTCGGCGCTGGCCTTTTGTACGGACGTATGACCAGCGCGTATTGCTTCTAATGCACGCTCTAAATCTTCCGGTGTCCACGTTGTGGGTGCCGCATTAAAGGGTGCCGCCAAGCGTATGCCTTCACGTCGAGCAATTTTATATAATGTCGAGGATGGTATACCAAAGGCTTTGGACGCTTTATTTGCTGATATTTGCCCAGAACGTAGGGCTTCTAAAGCATTATTCAATGAATCTTCATTCCATGATTTCGTACCCCCCTCCTTCTTTGGCGTTTCGATGCCCATACGATGGGCACGTTGCCATAAAGTGGTTGATGGTATACCATATGTAACTGATGCTTTTGTTAGACTCATATTTTGATTCTTCAATGCATCTAAAGCTGAATTCATATCATCTTGAGTCCAAGTTTTCGGACCATTAAACTGGCCTTTACCATCCACGTGCTGTTGGTCCAAATTAGTATAATGTGGCTCAGTTTGATCGTTTGGTGAGCCATTTGCTATCATCATTGAATCCTCACTTGTATCAGAATTGTACATATCTGCAAGGAGTTGAAATTTAATATTAATATTGGATTAGTACTGATCTGGTTTTAACAGATCAGACGTAAAGTATATTGAGATAACTTCTCAAATCGCGATAAAAGTATTTAGTGTTTGTTTTAAATTACTTATAATCGTAAATGATCGAGAAATTAAAATCGGAAATTCCAATTGTAGATAGAGGTCGCTGTCGTCGTGTGTAAATATATGTATAAGATATTACCCGACATAACACTGTCGTTGCTCTCCGCAAAATTATTTGTGGAATGTTTTCTACCGTTGCAACAACAACAATCAAGATGTGATTTTTAATTTCTGATATATCGATTTAAGACCAAAAAATCGTTTTTTAACTATTATTATTAACCCAACAACCATGTGTAGATGACTTAAATTCATGCGATTATCATGATATAAAATTCAATAACCCTGCTAAAGCTGAACTACATTAAACGATCACTCACCCATATGTCCAGTGGTCATCATATTAACAATTTCCGGTGTTATGATCATTCCGGGTTCATGTTTTATTTGGCTTGGATCGATTTCCATTACTGTTGCTCCGCTTAGGTCCTGATGTGATTGTGCTTGTTGTTGGACGTGTGTTGAATGTGAGTGTGCTGTTTGTTGTTGATGTACTTGATGCTGTTGGTGTTGCTGTTGCTGTGCTTGATTTTGTGAGAGTTGTTGAGCATGCAATTGATGTTGTTGCTGTTGATGATGTTGCTGTTGCTGTACTTGTTGTTGTTGTTTCGCATCAATCACCTCACTCTTAATATGCTGTACTAAATTCGAATTGCTTTCATCACCAGTCTGATGGTGAATAGCATGCATCGGAGATTGATCAAGCCGTTGAATCATGTGTTGGGCTAAATGATTGTCGATGTCCAGTGCTTCGGTGGGGTCTGAAATGGCATTCGTTAAATGTTGTTATTAATTTTATTGATTATTATAAAGTCCAGAAGTTTTTCATTATCGGTAGAGTCGAAAAACAAGTTTACAATGTATTTAATAGGACCAAGAAGTTTTATTGCCCTTAAAAATACATATGTATGATAACAGGATAGAGTACCGAAAACTCACTTGATAAATCTCGAGTGTCGGTATTTGGATTGCATGATAAATCGACATGCTCCGTTACTGTTACCGGTGTGGCTGAGGGTGCTGGAGGTTCTGGTGCAAAATCTAAAAAGCCCATTGGCACTCCAAGAATTCCGCCATTCTAAAAATAAAATAAAAAGTTATTTTTTATGATTGTTTAAATAAGTGGAGAATGAGATAAAACACTTTTTGATTTATTTCTGATTTTGTTGAAAAGCTTTTATTAAAGTGTTTACCTTAAAGTTACAAGTATTCTCTAAAGATTTAATAAAAATATTTGATTCAGTGGGGAATTGTTTAAAGCTAGGGATAGGTGAAAATATTTTCTAACCACACTACACATAGTTGGAGTAGTTAAAGTCTGTCCTTATACAAATTAATATTTTTTGCAAATAAAATATTTTAAATGACTGGGGAAGTGGAAAGCTAAGAGCTCATAACCAGGTTCTCACATTTTTTGATAAAAGAACGAAATAATATTTTAGTTACAGGAAGCTTTGGATGCGCTTTCTAAACTTTAAAAAGATTAATCCGCCTTTCTGCATTATATCGGAATATATCTCTGAAGCTTCTATAGAAAATAGCAAAAAAGTCGGTTCCGATATGTTCCAAAAGCACATACAGTTGCGGTAAAAATAATAGTAGTGCGTACAATGTAGAAAAAAAATTTCGTCGCACCACTAATTTTCTATAGGGTAGAAGTCTGGAGACAGTGCGGGCCACTCCATGACCTTAATCCAAATTGAAACCACTGCTGAGCCAATTTGTTTGCGTGCTTTGGGTCATTGTCTTGTTGAAACATTTAAGGTAACGGCCTTTCTTGTGGAGATAAGGTAACATTATTTTCGGCATAATTCGAACATACACAGAACAATCCACGGTTTATTTAATCAAATTTATTGGTCCAAATAAATGAAATGAAAAATATGCACAAATCATAATACTCAACTCCCTATTGGTTGGGCACCTTACGGCCTTGTCTTGACCCAGTTCCTATTTAATTTTCGTTGATGATTCAAAAGGATTTTGTTTTAAGGATCTTACTAGACGGTTAGCCTCTCTATTAGATATTACCGGACAACGGCCATGTGTTTCAGGGTTCCGTTTGTTTGTAAATCAAATAAGGGTTGCATTGAATACACACTAAAGATTCCGAGGCTTATTTCAAATCTAACAAAAATTTCAGTATCTTAGAAGAAGAGGTTCCCTCTCTCCGTCTTTTTATACCAGAATCGGAAATTATCGCTATGTTGAGTACTTCAAATAAAGTTCTATCGTGTAACTGTATCTCCGTGTAAATGTATCTCATTTGGCATTAATAATTATAGATCCTAGTTCGATGTAACGGTACAGCGTAATAAAGGAAGAAAATAAATCTAAAAGATCAACACAGTATTAATCTGTCTACCCACATTGAAATTGATCGTGCCTTAGAACAGTTTAAAGAATGATTCATAGGATCATGTAGAAATTAGTATGATACCAATAATTATTACAAGTTATTTGACTTGGTTTAAAACTCAATCATCAAACTCTCTAAATTGATTAATACTATCCAACTTTTATAAAAAAATTACTTATAAAGTATAATTTCAATATTATCGATGACATCGATTGCATATACTCACCATTCCCATTCCTAAACTAGTCATATTTTTATCTTTTCCGTCTCGTGCTACTACAATCTGCGTTACAATCGCTGTGCCTGGTGCTGCAACAGTCGTTACGCTGCCAGCATTATTCGTTCCCGATACACCAGATGCGCTGGACGCAGGTGACGCTGACGCTGTTTCTGTCTTACAGATCTTCCCCGGTCTATCCGTATCCGAGTCGTCGCCGGTGATTACCGTCTGCTGTTGTCCACCACCGCTAGTGCTAACCGTTTGTACACCGGATACCGGTATATAATTACCAGACGACGTCTGTTGTAAACTAACAATAGCGGCTTGATTTTGATTTTGTATTAAAATTGTTTGTGGTTGTTGTGTACTCTGTACTTGTTGTTGTATATCTGGAGATTTTGAACGCTTACGTACACGAGATTTACGTCCAATCTGTTGATGTTGTACCGATGTGCCTGCACTAACTAACTGTCCGGCGATATTCGTAGTGGCTGAACCAATTTGTTGTGTATTTGCAGTGGTCACGTTGCCAATATTATGCGTGAGCACCGCTGTATTAGTAGCAATCTGTTGTTGCTGCTGTTGCGATTGATGTGGTATATTGGGTGAGAGTTGACCCGTTGCTACTGTGGCATTAACGATATTTCCAACAACGGCTTGCTGTATATTCTCCGATACTGTAATTGTAGCTGTAGCCGAGTCGTTCAAATCGTCTGTGTTTTCGGCCGTCTCACAAAGTCCTTTAATTTTCAGCTGTTCGGCTGTACGTAATAAACCCTGGAATCAGAAAAAAATGTACGTTTGAGGTTAGTTGCAATTGAAAAATTAAAAAATTAATATAAATGATAGTATTTAAAATTAAATAATTTATATATTTTAATTATTTATTTTCGGTTACAACTTTTAGATAATTTAAGCTTGAAGCGGACGTTAGACGAATATTCCTTTCTAAACATATTTTAAGGACGAACGATTTGTCCAATTTTTCTGAGTGAAAAATAAAAACCTCTTAAAAAAGAATTTATTAATACTTCAAAAATAAAATCTAAACCTCTTTAAAAACAAAAATAATTTAAATAAATGCATTTAAATTCAGAATATATATATACACGTGAGGGTGTGTAGTGAAAACAAATAATCAGCTGTTATACATAAAAACAGTCAGCAGTTTCTGCTTTGATTTCCAAAATAGCAAATGAGTGTAAAGTTTAATTCCCCCTGAGAAAATGCTTTTTGATAATTAGTCCGGCCTGCATTTTTTTTTCTCCCGTGCGAGAATATTTCTGTCATGCGAATGCATCCCTTAGCTCTGGCAAAGCTTTCACATTTTAATATCTAGCAAATTTCAGCAAAGAGCGCTTTTCGACTCGAAGAGAGATATAGTATATGGCTGGGGAGGAGTCGCTGGAGAAGAAGTGAATTGATGGGTCGAAGCTTGTGAGGAGGAAGATGCGATGAAAGATCCAAAGACTTTGACAAATTTGTGTTAGGGGGAAAGCGCTTTGCTTTGATACACTATTTAAGAGATTTGGTTAACACAGCGTAACGGTGTTCTAAGCTGTACAAGTGAGATTCCTGTTAGGAATGAGCTCAAAACGTAACCTAACCTATTATTATCTATTGGAGGTGATTAAACGAGATCATAAGGACTGTTAGAGAGCATGCTACAGATTTGCATGAGCTGTAAATATGAAAAAACGGGCTAGTTAAACGAAATTTTCAACAAAATGAAGTAGATAGCATTAATTTAAAACCTCGACGAAGTATTTTGTGTTTGAAAAGAGTTTCATATTAAAAAGAGGTTATCTTGAGATCTAACACATTCTTAGCTTTTTTTAGTCTCATAAGCTATACATGTAACTATAGGACCGACAACGCCATTGGAATATTTTTTACGCAAATAGATATAATAGATTTCTTTGGAACAAATCATCTCTATAAAAACGTTGCTCGGCTCAAGTAATTTCATTTTGGACAACAGTTTTTGGGAAAACAGGCTTTTAATTAATGTGCTCAAATAAAGCTTCTAGATGCTACTGTAATGAGCAGCGCCAAATTATGTAATTGGGAGAATATATAGACAAATATATGTATAAACATAATTCATGCGTGAATTGTCAACGCTGTAGAGGGGTATTAACTTCCCTATTAACCATAAAAATCATGACGGACACTCATCAGCCGCTTACGAATGCTTACCACAAAAGAACGATCAAGTCATTACCGGCAAAGACACTAACACACATGCGCAGTATGCACCAATACCAGCAAATTTATATGTGAATAAATATACCTGTAGAAGAGAACAAATGCGCAAATGAACTTGTGTGTGTGCGGTTGTGCCTTCACATTTATGCTCATAAAATAATTCGAGTTTGAATGTTCATTTTCAATTCATTGAAACGCAGAGAAAATATTATGAATGTCCGAACTCACATAAAAACATACATACACACACATATAGTCTGTTAAATATGTATGTGGTGGTGATCATTGTGAGCAAAAGTCATACAAAAATCATTTCATACGAGCACAAAACTAATGTGAGCGGCGACGCGGCGAGTGTTCGGAGTTTTGTTGCACGTTTTAAAACCTGTTCGTATTGCGAAATTTGTTTAAATTCTCACAAACTCAAATATACAACACAACACAACACGGCACGGCACGGCTCGGCACATAATAGCGATATCCATCGAAGACTCATCGCTACTTTTTCCAATCTACGCGTTTTACACAACTAAAGTGACGATTTTCATAGCGGCGTTCTCAGTCGTTTATTGACCTCAAAATCAAGTCATGGTTATGGCCACAGCAGTCCGACAAGCATACAAACAAGCATACATACCTAAATACATATGTATACGTAATATCTAATTTGCTATATACTAAAAATATTTATATATTCATACTTATTATGTATGTGTATATACTTGTGCTTATGTGTGTGTTTCCCTGTCGATAATTTATAATTAGAGAAAGACTTGGAAGTCGCTGCTTCAAAGTAAACGAAGCGCTTTGACCGAATAAGCCAGCTCGACGTGAAAGTTAGACTAACTTCCTAAATACACACACTCACAGATACATGTACGTACATATGTACATATGGATGAGTTTATTGGCAATTTTTCGATGAAGTTTCAATATCGTTCTGATACAAATCGAACTACATACTATTTTATTTGCGAAACTGTATAGCTTTATCGACTAACATGTAAATTCAATGTGCCAAATTTTATTTACTGAATTTTTTTAATTAAATATACATAAGTGTTTCCACTTTGCTATTTCCCGGATAATAATCACTGATTGTCATTTTAGAAAAAAGTATTTTCTAGAACCTGTGAAATATCAAGCTGAACCTTTAGGCAAGGTTGATCTTCTTAATTGACGTAGACAGCGCTTATTCGGTTATAGCCGAGGTTAGCAAGGTGACCCAAAGGAATTAATTATTTATCCCCGTAAAGTTGTGTGTGAAAACTAACTACAAAAAAATAAATAATGCTTCGCTTTCTCATAAAACTCAAAACTTATTGCATAAAAAGAAAAAGAGTAACACTCATTGTATTTTGTTTTACTTTTGATTCTCAAGTGTAAAGATTTCACAAACACATTATTTTGACATTTCGGAAATTCAAACGAAACGACTCTACGAAACTGCAACGGCATTATATCTGACGAAGCACAAAATTATAAGTATTTGAGGAACATTTCATGTCAAGAAATATACTGCAGAAAAACTAAATCAGGTGTTCGGTGCCACTTATGTAGATCTCGAATAGTTCTCAGAGAAACGAGACAAAAAAAAAAAACGGAGAAAAGTATTCTGCTAATGCTGAGGTTACAGGAAATTTTATATTTATAAAATTATTTTTTTAAATAATGATTAACACAACTAAAGTTTAAATGTTTTAGCGAAAAAGGATCAGATATATGTAAAAATAAGAGGTTAAACTTTCGTAAACACAAATTTCTAAATATTGTTTATATAAATTCGATGATTCGATTTATTTATATGTATACAGTTAGATTTTTCAAAATTTGTTTTTATTTTATTTTCCTAATTTACATATATTTAAGAATACACGCAGAAAAGTTCATCTGGTTCCGGTGAATATTTTCCAAGTTACATTCAAATTTGAAAAGGCGTACTTGGAAGTACAAGGCCAAACTTTAAACGCGTTTTTCTCAAAATGGTGTTTTCAAAGTCGGTGACCAACATTATTCGAAAACGACTACACCGGCTACTACTACCTTATTTTTTTATTTTTTAGTAATTAAACAGACTTTTTCTCAAAGAAATATTTTTTATAAACAATTTAAAAGAAAAATCGATTATTTTATAAACCGTCATCTTTTTAAAAAATTTTAATTTGCTTATTCCTTCATTTTGGTTTTTTAAATTCAGAGGATACAGTTCGGAGATATAGTGGTCACCGCAAAACGTCGTTTTTGAAGGGAGCTCCCGGAGATCAGCTGTAGTTCCTTTCCAAATAAATATTTTTACCAATATTAAGACTTAAAATAAAGTTAAAATATACGATGATATTGTGTAATAATTTTTTGATAAATAAAATTTAAAAGTTTTCTGAGAAAAAATTCTGGAAAATTTGTTTCGGCATTCTAACTGAATACAATCCCTTATTAAGGGAAGCTAAACCCAGCAATCGTGGTCCCACTTTGATAGTTGCGACATCTTTACTTTGTCATGTGACAAGCGTTTAGGATCGCATCAGAAATCAATCCATGTCTCCACAAAGAGCTTTGTGACAATTATAAATTGACACGCCTAATAACGATAAAAGATTATTAGCTCAGTTTAAAGAAGGTATAACATCTAGGACGTTTTACCCTCAGCATGGTAGGTGCTGGATAGCAAAGGAGAAAGTTCAAAACAAAACGACCAATTTTGACCCAGATTGTATCAATGGCTGTTATTTATGTTTTAACATCAAAGAAAATATCTGACGACCAATGCAACATTGAATAGTCGGATAATGTAGCAATTCTAGGGGGTTTTTTTTAACCTAAAAACATGACCAGCACCAGCACTCTTAAGAGGTTCAATATTTTTTGTAAATAGAATTTTTTGTAATAAATATATAGTGGCTTTAACAATTGGCAGCATACCAATTTCTTTTCTAATTTTATTTTATTTTTTTAATTTCATTTTCTCAAAGCTCTGACCCAGATATCAAAAGATTGTTGTGTTCTCTATCTCGAGAAATTTAATATAAACTTCGAGTTGAAATTTAAAAATTACTTTTAAACCCTTTTCACCACCAAAAATATTACATTTTATAAATTTCGGACAAATTAACGAAATTAACGAAGGAATGTCGAAAAGGACACCACTCCCTACCAGCCATGAAACGCTCACCTTAACATTAATAAACTTATGTACACGCTTGGCATAATAAAAGACGAAGGAAAACGAAAGGAAAAAAGAAAATGAAACATAGAAAATTTAACAGTTATGCGCCGACGTTGCTTTAATTTGATTAACTGCCGCAAAAGGAGTCGAACTGGTATAATGCTCTCTGCGCGTCGCATAAGTAACATGATGACCACAAACATTTATACATATGTATATAGTACATAATATAATATATAGTTGTGTGGAACGAAAAACCGTGGCCCAGAAAAGTGACTAGCCGACTACCATACTTACATTACTGACTACTAGACGCGCTGGTACAGGTTTATGGAACAGGTTACGCGTTATAGCGTTTTACTCCATATCTATGGTGGGGCTATGGGCTTGGGTATGCTGTAACCGT